CGGCGCTTTAACCGGATCCCAAACCAATGGTGCACATGGGCTCCAGTATCCTGCGGGAACAAATGGCGTATGAACCAATCTTTGGTCACCGGCTACCATGGGATTGCATCTCCTTACGATGCTCCACTGCCTTGTGGGTTAGACCTTTAGGTCAAAGGCTCGGGGAGTGGCCCCCTAAGAAAACCACCTGCTTCGGTTTGGGCACCCGGGCAGTATCACAGCCCACACACAAACGATGAACTCTATGTCTTTGGCAACTACTTTTATCGCTCCGAAAAACAATCAGTCGATTCAAATAATTATCATTACTATTATTGTCATTATTAATACTATTATTATTACTATTATTGTCGTTATTATTATTATTATTATTATTATTTCCCACATTATTCACCCTCTTTTATACTTATACAGCGGCTCGTCTTTGGTGGAAATCCGACTGTATCTAAACGTTCTCGAGTCACTGTCCGGTTGAAAATTGTATGTTACCATCGAATATGAGTACTGAAGCAGTTTTTCTGAAACCACGTGCACCATTCAAACTGGCTGCCTTCAACGTTCGCACACTTATGCAGGTCGGACAACAGATAGGGCTGGCTATGTCTTTGGAAAGTCTTAATATTGATGTTTGTTGTCTATCCGAGACCCGTATTCAAGACTCTGGCGAAGTACTACAAATTCGCTCTACATCTGTCGCTTCAAAAAGCTTGTTTTACGTGCGCTTATCCGGGGACCCTGTGGCATCTTCGTCTGGTCTTGCTGGCGTTGGTGTCGCACTAAGCGCTAGAGCTGAGGCAGCACTAGTCGATTGGATCCCCATTAACAGTCGGTTATGTGCTGTTAGATTAGAAAGTTCCATCAAAGTGAGAAGAAATCGGCGTGAGAAACGATGTCTTTTCGTCATCTCCGCCTATGCCCCGACAGATTGCAGCCCGGATGCAATCAAGGATGAGTTTTACCACCAGTTATCTGTTCTTCTCCAGAAAGTGCGTTCGACAGATATTGTAGTACTAGCCGGAGACTTGAATGCTCAGGTCGGGCGTCTAGGCACAGAAGAGAGTCGTTTAGGTGGCCGATGGGGACTTGTTGGTCGCAGGTCAGATAACGGGGACCGTCTACTGCAACTGTGCACAGACCACAACCTGTTTCTGGCTAGCACTAACTTTCGGCACAGTCATCGCCGATGTGCCACCTGGCGTCCTCCCTCTGCATCTCAAGCCTGGACTCAGATTGATCACATCGCGATCAGCTACCGCTGGCGTGGTTGTGTAAAAGACTGCCGCTCCTTTTGGAGTACCTATCTGGACTCTGACCATGCCTTGGTCTGCGCCAATCTTGCCTTACTTTTCAGTGGACAACGAAGTGACCGCCACCAACGGATTGATGTTAGCAAGCTGGTTGCAACTTCTGTTGCAAGTAAGTATCGAACCGAGCTAGCCTCTAGGCTAGCTACCACTCCACCGAAAAGTATAGATGAGCATTGGTTGCAATTGCATGACGCCATGAAAATGGCGGGAACAGTCAGTTGTGGGTTTGCGAAACGTCCCGCTTTTAAGCACTGGGTTTCTTCTGGTTCCTTACAACTCATTGAAGCCCGTCGGTCTACTCCGGGTGACCGTGAGTTTGACCATAAACGAAGGATGTTACGTAAGGAAATTGGGCAAAGCTTGCGTAAGGACCGAGAAGCCTGGTGGTCGATGCGTGCTAATGAGCTGGAAGCAGCAGCTGCATCTGGTAACTACCGGAAGCTCTTCCAGCTCATCCGAGCCACTGGCAGCAAGAAGTCTGGTGTGAGTGAAACAATCTGCGAGGATGATGGGATGCCAATCACTAACATCCATCGACGTCTTGGACGATGGGCAGAATTTTTCGAAGGGCAGTTCAACTGGCCTGCTGCTCCGGCAACATCGGTCAGACTGTCCTGCCCTCCATGGCCGGTGACGACTGATCCACCAAACGAGGAGGAAGTCCGCAAGGAACTCCAACTCTTGAAGCGTTACAAATCACCTGGCCCAGATGACTTACCTCCGGCTCTTTTTAAAGATGGTGGTGACTTTTTGACTAAGGAATTGACGACGTTGTTTACAAAGGTTTGGGAACTAGAGAGTGTACCAACGTCATGGAATGAGTCGATAGTTGTCCCTATCTTTAAAAAGGGTTCACGTCGTTCCTGTAACAACTATCGGGGGATAAGTCTACTTCCGATTGCGTCCAAGCTATTGGCTTCCGTCATACTTCGTAGGTTGTTCAAAACCCGAGAAAGATTGACTCGCGAGGAGCAGGCTGGGTTTCGTTCTGGTCGAGGATGTATTGATCATATCTTCACCCTCCGCCAAATGTTAGAACACCGCCATACTTATCAAAGGCCAACAATCGTAGTGTTTCTTGACATCAGGGCTGCCTTCGATTCGTTGGACAGGACTGTTCTCTGGGATTGTCTATTGAAGAAGGGTGTGCCTGAGAAGTTTATTAACATCCTAAAAGCCCTATATAAAAACACCTCAGGCAGAGTGAGGGCATACAACCACCTCTCTCCATTGTTCCATTCGAGCAGTGGGGTTAGGCAGGGTTGCCCAATCTCACCATTCCTCTTCAACTTTGCCATCGATGACATTCTGGAAACAGCTCTGATGAATGTAAGTAATGGTGGTGTGGATCTGTTGCCTGGAGAAAGACTTCTCGACCTTGAGTATGCGGACGATATTGTCTTACTGTGCGATAATGCCCAAGGCATGCAATCCGCACTTAATCAGTTGGCAATCAGTGTCCGTAGGTATGGTATGTGCTTTGCACCTTCGAAGTGCAAAGTACTTCTACAAGACTGGCAGGATTCTAATCCTGTACTCACCCTGGATGGTGAGCAGATAGACGTAGTCGAGAAGTTCGTGTATCTGGGTAGCTGCATAAGTGCTGGTGGGGGTGTGAGTGATGAGATCAATGCACGAATAGTGAAAGCCAGAGCGGCTTATGCCAATCTGGGCCACCTTTGGCGCCTTCGTGATGTTAGTCTGGCTGTAAAAGGTCGGATCTACAACGCGTCGGTGAGAGCAGTTTTGCTCTATGCTTGTGAAACCTGGCCTCTCCGAGTTGAGGACGTTAGACGACTCTCTGTGTTCGATCATCGCTGTCTCCGAAGGATTGCTGACATTCAGTGGCAACACCATGTCAGTAATGCAGAGGTTCGGCATCGTGTGTTCGGGCACAGAGATGATAATTCAATTGGTGTCACCATCTTGAAACACCGACTTCGGTGGCTTGGACATGTTCTCCGAATGTCGTCCCAGAGAATTCCACGTCGTGCATTATTTGCCGACTCTGGGACTGGTTGGAAGAAGCGGAGAGGTGGTCAGTGCATGACATGGTGTCGTGGCATGAAAGAAAGCTGCAAAGGACTGGCTTGTGTTGGTCCTTCACGACTCCCTGGTTGGGGTCTGAGAGATGGTGCTACACAGTGGCTAGAGACGTTATCAGATATGGCTCAGAATAGAAGCCAGTGGCGATCCTGCTGTAACCTTCTTTTACTTTCTTCATAAAAAGTGGTTGTGTCTCCCTTACCTGAAAGATTTCTTCCGATTGTACCTTTGCGTTCCCTGATTACTAGCACATTACCTTACACCAATCTCTTCGTCATTGTTCTCTCTTTTTTTGTTGCGCTCCTTAGTTTTTTTTTCTTTCTTTGTATTCCTCTCGAATTTTCATTGTTTTGTGTGGCGCATATATATTGGCGCTCTCTTGTACCAATATTCATGTGTCCAAATAAATAAATAAAATAAATACATAGCAGTTATAATATGCTGCCTAAATCTGCTAAGTATCATAGGTTTTCGTTACTCACTGATGTTTGTTCTCGACGTAAAATTGTTAGTGAATTTAGATTTAAGATTTTGTTGGCCTTTGTACATTCAAAGCAAGCTAACATCCATAAATCCTTAGTGATCCACATTTCCCTGCATTCAAAAAATTACTGTTATCATAAGTGTCTATGCTCGGTTTCAGGATATATTATGTTAAATGCCCACCAGACTAGTAAACATTTTTAAAATGTCGTTACTAAACACTAATTACTATCCAAGAGGGGATACTAGTACAAACGCAAAGAGAAAATAAATCTAAATAATCAATCATAGCGCAATCCAGATGAGTTTTTAATAGATAAACTGGTGTCATCAATTAAAGTATATGAACTAAACGTTACTATGTATTTACCGTTTTCAATAAATTATTAATTGTCATACTCCAGTTTGTTTGAAATAAGTCAGACCCTACATGCATTTTGGATTAACGTAAAAATTCAGATTTCCGATGTAAAACCGTATTATCGTTTATTCGCGTTTAAAACTGATCTCATGTTCAAAGTATATCTTCAACTAAATCTTTGTTTCTTGCTTGTTTGCTGTCATTGAGTCTAACTATTTAGTCACTAATTCATCCTAAATATTTTGATAGTGTTTCTAATTCGAAGCTAGATTTACAGTTGATTTTAATTTGTTCACTTACTGGGACAAACTGGTTGGCTTCAGATGTGTTTTAGAGATATTAATCACATTGTGAAAGAAACTTTTAGTGTCTGCCAGAGAAACTTGGGTACAGCGGCATTTTAAGTCGTGATTAGATGTTTCAAGAAATAAATGCTTTGTTTTAGTGGCAGCCCAGTCAGTGACATAAAACTCACGGAACATAATTCCTTGTGACATGTTTATATTGAAATGACGGGCGCAGAAATTGTTTATACTAACAGACATGACCTAGCTAGCGGTTAGTCGTCAATTTCTATTTCCTTTATGTAGTTTTTATGTCGGATTTATGTTATTTTATGGCTTTATTCGGCGTTTTTTTTTAGGTAAACTGAATTAAATATATATTGTGTTCTGCTAAATATTAGTCCTTGTTTATATCTTTCTTCCAGGTAGAAAAAAGTATACAAACAAGCATATAAAGTTGCTGAGACAAATCTTCGTCGTTCTCAACAGCTTCAAAACCACAGTCCAGCACATGAATCAATGTATCGGAGAGATATACATGCATTTGTTTTCATTCGACGTCGACTTGCAATGTGTGCAAGAAAATTGGGTAAATTGAAAGAAGCAATAAAGATGATGAAAGATGTATGTGTTCCATGTTGTTTTGAGAAAATATTTCTAGCTACTGTGCATCATTATTTTCCATGGTCAGTATTTTATAATTTATATATTGAAAGATAAGTGTTCACTTGCAATGTTTCAAGTCAGAGAAATATACATTCAAGAAATCAATAATGAACTTGGCCTGGTGATTTATTGTTAAAGAATGAGTGCATATTTTACTTAAGAAAGTTCTTATGCCGATTAACTCGTTTACTTGTAAAGCTTTTTCATTATATTATATGCAGTATGCATATTAAGATATTCCTATTAACTCTTCCGTCATTCAAATCAAACCATAATTCCAGGTAGGAAATCAATGTCAGTGGTGATTAGATGAAAAACGTATTATATAATCAGAAGAACTGTAATGATTCATTAGGAACTTCCTTCATATAACTAACATCTGGTTTTGTCTCCTACTTTATCCTCGGAAATGAGTCAAATTCAAATTAACTATTAGTTTCATGATTTTCAAAGCTGTTTTGTTTTAAATAACGTATCCTTGTTTATCATTTAATAATTTTAAAGGTCGTGCATAGAAAAACCATGTATCCATCAGTTCTCAACATTTCATATTTTTATGCTTATACTTCAGCTTTTACTCATCACTCCAACTTGCAGTTATTATTCTTTCTTTTTATCTATTTTCAATTTTTAGAGTATCTGAATTCGATATTAGCTATTACGCAGAAATAAAATTAAAACTGAGTTTATAAATCTTATCCTTTTTTTCAAATTATTACAGCTTATTAACCTGTTTAGTTACTACTTTCTTCGAAAACTAAATACATCAAATTGAATTAAAATCCCATTTGAATCACTTTTGTTTATATTCATATCATTACCTGAGTTACTACTTAAAAGCGTTAATCGGTCTTATGTATCTGTACAACCTAATCATGTGATATTCACAGGATATACTGTTTTTGAAGTTTTCTATACCAGATAAATCACTTGTCTATGATCTTCGGCTAAAGTTACGTTGCAGATTGTTAGGGTGTAGTGAAAGTTGGATATTTTTAATGGATAAGTATTCGTCTTCCTCCTCACCGTTAGGTAAATGATACCACAAATAGTCCACCCACAATAGCTTACTTTCCGAACTCACAGAATCAACAATGTGGCTTAAATATAAGGAGGTAACACTGCATAATTGAAAACACTAACTATAATTCTGTATTCAGAAAACGTCAAGAAATGTCTGTAATCATATCTGTAGGTTCGTACAAACAACAGTCGTTATTTTTCTTTCTAAGCTTCACTTCGGCGAAATCCTATCACAATCTAAGTTGGAATCACAAATCATCTACAGTTCTGATCGCATTCAACTTCATTCTCTTAGCTGTTAATTCGGGTTCGTTCCATAAATTTTATATGTCTATTGTCAGTTTCCCGCTTTTAGCTTCATATATTTTTATATTTTCAGCTAATGGTTACTGTTGAAGGGTCAAAGTGACTTCTTTAATAATCATGCTTCAAACAAAGTGTCATATCGAATGATTAATTTTACAGACAGACCAGCTATTACACTTACACTGGTAGTTCGGACCCAACGAAATATCCCTATATAGTCAAATAGAACTTTTATCTCGGTATATCTCACGTGGCGCATGAGAATTTCAGACCTATCTGAAAGCAATTTTACTTCACGAGATTTCTCCTTTTACATCTAATTATTTCTAAACTAAATCATTGAATTTTGTTTTTAAGAGCAGATTCATCCATATTGTTTTAATGTACTAGATACTATTAATATGCTTGTCTTTCACAACCGTTAACATACTAGTGATAGACTATTCTTTCTATCCTGTGTTAAGTAAAAGTCTATATATATATATATATATATATATATATATATATATATATATATATATATATATATATATATATATTACGAAATCGCACGTTATATCTAATTTCAACCCAATATCTATGCTAATTTTAGCTTATAAAGGAATATCCAAATTTAAATCTTTTCAATATCCATGAAAATCTTATTGAGTGCTACCTAGCTGCCCAGCAATATGCTGATGCTCAGGCTTTCCTAGCTAAATACGATGGTAGGTTCTTTGAAAATAAGATAGTGATCATATATTTTAATTATTTAGTGGCTACTCAATAGATATTGCAGTATTTTGTTAACTGTATAGCACATAATGTTTATTTGGCTTAATTTTCCTAACCGATATTTCCACCGTAACTGTTACCTTGAAATGGGGATAGCTTTTCCTACCTCCAAAATAAATCGAACACTGGACAGAATTGTACAAAGAATAATTCAAATGGTCTCTTGCCAAATCAACGTCGAGCACTTTCTGATATACTTTTTGGTCCGTGACTACTTACCCACACAACAAAGCGGAGATTCATAGAGAATTTCAACTGCTGGAACGTCACCAGTCTTAAATGACTAACTTTTAGCCTTTTTCGGGTATAACGGAGAACTTTTGGCTAGGAGACTGACCAGCTCGTTGAGAAACTTTTGAGTAACAGATTGTCCTATCATTTTGGAATGAAAAATCTTCGTCCCTACCTTTACAAAGAACTTAAATAATTTTATTATTAGCATCTCGAAGGCTCTGTACACATATCTCTCAAACAGGATGGATGCATACGCCATCCTCTCTCCTTTGTTTCAGCTTAACAATAAGTTCTATAGAGTACTACTTCTGATGCTTTTGCTAGTTCTTAATAGTTTCATCTCGTTGTGCTAATGTTGGATAGCAACTTGAACCGATGCACATATGTGCTGGTTTCTGCGTTGCATTTGACTGACTTTTAGGTAGTGTCTCCCTGTATACAATACTTCTCTTCAGTTTTGGCATCGATTTCATTCCGTAAACAGCTCCAATGAAGGGAAGTGGTAATGTAAAATTGCTATTCTGACATACATCGTCTTGCTGTGCGAAAACAAAACCTGTTCAAATCACATTTAATCAGTTATCTATTGGTTTCCATAAGTAGGGTATGTAATTTACAGTTTCTGGATGTATAGTACTTCTACAAGACGAGTAGACGCTCTTTGAAGGTATAGGATCGGAGAAATGCAAAGGATTTAACAGCATTACTGGTATCGATTTTCAGCGGTCACCAATGGGTCTCTAACTTTATTCTTCGACCTTGGCATGAACTCGAACCACGAAATCTATCTCCAAGCACGACTCAAATCAACAATCGTTAACGTCATAGACTGATTCTGCGTCCTAGATTTTGAGGAAGTCTTATCTCTTGTAAAAGCTGCAGTGACATCTGTTAGCAACCTAACCTAAAAGACTAATAAAGGCTAGTGTAACTCGAAGGCCACTACCAAGTTATTGTTTATTTTCATCCTGCATCACCGTCTGTTGACTAAGATAGTATCTGGATTCGGAGAGCTAGAAATTGTTCCGTAAGACTGGTCACCAATTTCAATTTCTCAAGTATTTGAAAAAGTATAGTTTTTGAAAAAAATACACCAAATTAAATGACCGGTGTTGTGATTGAAACATCAACTGTTATCATTATTCATCCCTTTGACAGAGCTCGTGGTGATCAAACCCTAGGAAATTAGACTGGTTTAAGACCTGGACATATACATTTGGAAACAAAAATTCTTCATGGGGTTCAAGAGCATAAGCATACTTAAAAACTCAATAACCATCGTATTTCTTGACCTCATTGATCGATAAATTTTTTGTCATTTTCTGTTGTCGAAAGGTCTATTAAAAGGGATACATCAATCTTCTAGAGACGTTCTAATCAAACACGTTTATTTATATCTGATTTAATTTATTGACTATTTGGTTCTACAGTTATTCGTTTCTCCATAGCTCTTTATGAGCAAAAGTATTATGAAACTAGACTAACTGGAGTAAATGGGAAATATGCTACGTTTTCACAGAGATGCATTTCCTAAAGTGGGTGCGGTCAGACTAATAGGTGATATTAATCTATTAAGCCATTAGCCCTTTCTGTGGTCTGTATTCGCAAGTCCAGGCGACATTAGCTCATCTATGCAATCGTAATCAAATTCTATGGATTTGAGCTAAAATCGATTTTAGGTGAAGTAGACCCATTCATTCTTAATCTTTCTTTAAATGGTGAATGTAACGTTATTTTACACAAATTCTTTCGCAGTTCGGTCCGTTTTTATTTGAAAAGTATATTCTCAATGTCCTGTTTATTGATGTTAACGTTTTGAATCCACTGCTCTTCCTGTTGGTAATTTTTTTGATAATACTTGCTTCAAGTATAAAACTTCAGACTAACATAGTTTTATTTCGCTCTATTTCTATCCTTTTTCAGATATCAACTATCCGAAATCAGCTACTATATGTTACACTGCAGCTTTACTTAAAGCCAGACAAGTATCTGAAAAGTAAGTTTTTCTTTGTTATATTGCTTAGCTGAACATTGTTTTCAATGTGGCTGTAACGTGGACTTGCTATGCGTTTGCTACTTATGAGACCAATGAAAGAGCGATCGAAACGGAGACAGCAAGTTGTGTTTGAAGTGGCAAAACTATTTTGTCGAAACTGAACTATGTGAATGGCCTGAAGCCGACCAGTCGGATCAGAGATAACAGCTAATAGGTTTCGGAGCAGAATTCAGTCATGGGGAAGAGAATAATAGTAACCGCTTCATCTTTCATATGTAATTACTGTTACTTGAAAACTTACTTGTCATACTAAAATCTTATGTTATAAATTTTTATTTAGATTTTCTCCGGACTTAGCGTCACGTAGGGGTTTGAATGCAGCTGAACTGAGTGCTGTTGAAGCTATTCATCGGGCTGTTGAATTTAATCCACATGTACCGAAAGTGAGTTCACTGTTGTATGGATCCTTTGTAATCTTAGTTTTAAACACTGTACTTCAAATAAAGCGGTGGTCCAGTTTTCTAGGCATTCGACTTTTTAGTCAGATTCATATTCCGCCTCACCCACTTTAGTTCGAACACCCGGACAGTATTACTGACTCTTACAGTTAGTATGATTCGAAATCCAAACGTGTGAGTAATCAGTTAGTCATATGCATCATTGACATGTGTACATCAGTTCAAGTTGTCACATCCCCATTATTACAGGAAGAAGAAACTGTCAGGTCAGTTTTAGATGAGTTGGTAGCCGAATTCATATGGAGCTTATAGTTTGAAAAAACTAACAGCCAAACAAGTGCAAACTGCTGTTAATATTTGTTGGCTCTCTGTTTACAAAGGTTTGTACATTATACTTGTTATGTGCACAATATCGTCACATACTGTTAGAGCACTGAAAGGACTTGTCAATTAAGTTCAGTATTTTGTTGACACTCCCACAAATGTGTCGAGTACTTACTTAACCGAACTGTTTACATTCTGTATCATGATGCAGTCGGTTAGAAGCATTGTACGATATTTAGTACCAGTCTTAAACTTGTCTAATTCCATTTTAGCTGTGAAGCAAATGCTAGAAGTGTAGCTAACAGGTGACTTATGTTTATTTTCGTGTGAGTTACTTTAATCAGAGAATCATCTGTGTAAATTGAATTCCTGTTAAGAAAAAACACATTACATATCAGTTGCGTTTTCAGTCTTCATCCAATTGTAATTTTCTTAGCTAATGGTTTACAGAACTTTATCTTACTGGTTTCTGCTATAGTCAAATTACTTGAATAAAATATTTCCCATTCATGATAATGTATATCGAACATATTAATCCAGTCCGAACTATTCATTATGCTCGGCTACAAAAACCCTTGTATTAGTTTCTAATTTTCCTCCGCGTAATTGGGAACATCGCAAATAAACTATAACCAAATAATTAAAAATGTGTCGTTTAAAATCTCCTTTAGAACACTCGTTAGATTTCACTGGGCTTCCAAGCATACGTCCTTACACTGGTTAACTTTTAACCAAATACATTGAATGAAAGATAATCGCTAGTATCTACAAACCTACAGAATTGTAGTGCAGTCTGTTCAGTTACTCATTAATGATGAAAGTCCAGAACCGGTTACTTTTTCTAAAACTTATCCACTTCAGTATCTCACAAAGATTACTTAATTATTTGATTTTTGTCATGTACGTTTTTAAGCCACCTCTCATCCTATTTGAAGTAAATTGAGCGAACACGGTGAGGTGATTAGATAAATTTCAATAGCTTTTTTTCGTATTTTAAATATTCTTAGGGTAAACTGTTATCGGGAATTTATTACTGTAATAGTGCTTTGACTAAATTTAATGACTGTCTTAATAATTAAACTCATGACTTGAAAGTAATATCCATTAAGTGGTAGTAATTCCGTGATGTATTTTTGCGCACCCTTTTATTAATCTGGTCTATTCAGACGGAAGAATTCGCAACCTAACTGAACACAAACCTCCTGCGATCCTAATTACCGTTTTAGCATTTACTCTTATTATTTATCTCTTAGTAAAAACAACAAAGATATCTCTTGATATTGATAATAGTCAAGAAACGAAAAGACTTATGAAAGAATAAATCAATCAGTCATGATTCAAAGCATTCTTTCTACTGACCAATTCGTTTTCTACCAATCGAAATACCATATTACAAATCTATACTACTTTAAAACAAAAAAATCACATATTTTCTTGATTTGTTTCATTTAAATTCTCTTTCAGTACCTTCTTGAAATGAAACCTCTAATATTGCCTACAGAGCACATTTTAAAACGTGGCGATTCTGAAGCCATAGCATATGCATTTTTTCATTTAGCTCATTGGAAAGCTGTAGAAGGTGCAATTAATTTATTATATTGTACATGGGAGGGAACTTTTCGACTCATTCCATATCCTCTAGAAAAAGGAAACCTCTTTTATCCTTATCCCCATTCAACTACAGCGACCGATCGAGAACTTTTACCAAGTATGAATACTTTGTTTTTGTTTTGTCATTCTAGTCTCATGTGTGGCGCATATATATATCTGGTGCCCCCTTTTACCAATATTTGTGTTCAAATAAAATTTAAAAAAAATGAAATTCTAGTCTCATAAATGATGTCAAAATATATTTGGTGAACTACATCATTTACGTGGTTGAATTCAATTAACTGTTTTATAGATCACTTGTTGAATCCTCTCTTGGAAAACACGGTATTGTTTGATATGTTTTATTTCAACCAGCTAGCATTATAATCTTAAATGTTTGTGAGAAGAATCATTTATGAACCCACCTTTAATCGGAAATTAAGATCCAATGTTGCTATTTCTTTCGCAGTAACGGCAGATATTATCGAATACAGAACAATTAGAAATAGGTTAACTAATACGTAAAAAATAGTTATAATTCGTAGGAGAATTGGCTTATTGGATTAAGTCTGTAAATCATGTTCTTACTTTTATTAATGATATTGTGCTCTACTTTTTAAACTTCAAATGAAATTTACGGGCTGAAAATTGAAAAACTCTTTTTTCAATGATTATGGAGATACACTTCGGTTTATTATAAAGTTGACCTTACTCACAGCTCAAAATCGCAGTATAAATTACAGGCGTCAAAAAATACACAATTTTTACTAAAAAACAATTAACATACCTTCATAGATAAAGATATCATTTCCTCCCATAAAGACGAGATGTTGAGAGTTCTGGCTTTAAACTAGTGCTACCATCACTAACGTGCTAAAATATGTCCAGGCTTTTAGGTGTAAGATGTTCATGTCTAAGTGCTTCGACCAATAAAGTTGACATAAGAATTTTTCGGCCCCCAAATGCTCTGGTATGGCCGAGAGCTGGGTGGGTTCGCCCTCCCCCTCGAAATACTGTCACACGGCCACGCGTATACAGCCTCTGCCAGGGAAGTCCTACTCATTGCCTTCTCGTGGCGGAGGTGTTGTTCACAAAAATGAGAGGACGAGAAGCGAATTTCCGGCGCTTTAACCGGATCCCAAACCAATGGTGCACATGGGTTCCAGTATCCTGCGGGAACGAATGGCGTACGAACCAATTCCTTGGTCACCGGCTACCATGGCACTGCATTTCCTCACGATGCTCCACTGTCTTGTGTGTTAGACCTTTAGGTCAAAGGCTCGGGGAGTGGCCCCTAAGAAAACCACCTGCTTCGGTTTGGGCGCCCGGACAGTATCTCAACCCTCACACAAAAATATCATAAACTATCCCTCTGCATCTCAAGCCTGGACTCAGATTGACCACATCGCGATCAGCTACCGCTGGCGTGGTTGTGTGCAAGACTGCCGCTCCTTTTGGAGTACATATCTGGACTCTGACCATGCCTTGGTCTGCGCCAATCTTACCTTACTTTTCAGTGGACAACGAAGTGACCGCCACCAACGGATTGATGTTAGCAAGCTGGTTGTAACTTCTGTTGCTGGTAAGTATCGAAACGAGCTAGTTTCTAGGCTAGCTATTATTCCACCGAAGAGCATAGATGAGCATTGGTTGCAATTGCATGACCCCATCAAAATTGCGGGTACAGTCAGTTGTGGGTTTGCGAAACGTCCCACTTTTAAGCACTGGCCTTCCTCAGGCTCCTTACAACTCATTGAAGCCCGTCGGTCTACTCCGGGTGACCGTGAGTTTGACCACAAACGAAGGATGTTACGTAATGAAGTTGGGAAAAGCTTGCGTAACGACCGAGAAGCCTCGTGGTCGGAGCGTGCTAATAAGTTGGAAGCAGCAGCTGCATCTGGTAATTACCGAAAGCTCTTCCAGCTCATCCGAGCCACTGGCAGCAAGAAGTCTGCTGTGGGCGAAACAATCTGCGACGATGATGGGATGCCAATCACTTGCATCCATCGACGTCTTGGACGATGGGCAGAATTTTTCGAAGGGCAGTTCAACTGACCTGCTGCTCCGGCAACATCGGTCAGACTGTCCTGCCCTCCATGGTCGGTGACGACTGACCCACCAAATGAGGCGGATTCCACCTCATGAAATGAGTCGATAGTTGTCCCTATCTTTAAAAAGGGTTCACGTCGTTCCTGTAACAACTATCGGGGGATAAGTCTACTTCCGATTGCGTCCAAGCTATTGGCTTCCGTCATACTTCGTAGGTTGTTCAAAACCCGAGAAAGATTGACTCGCGAGGAGCAGGCTGGGTTTCGTTCTGGTCGAGGATGTATTGATCATATCTTCACCCTCCGCTAAATGTTAGAACACCGCCATACTTATCAAAGGCCAACAATCGTAGTGTTTCTTGACATCAGGTCTGCCTTCGATTCGTTGGATAGGACTGTTCTCTGGGATTGTCTATTGAAGAAGGGTGTGCCTGAGAAGTTTATTAACATCCTAAAAGCCCTATATACAAACACCTCAGGCAGAGTGAGGACATACAACCACCTCTCTCCATTGTTCCATTCGAGCAGTGGGGTTAGGCAGGGTTGCTTGAGCAGATAGACGTAGTTGAGAAGTTCGTGTATCTAGGTAGCTGCATAAGTGCTGGTGGTGGCTTGAGTGATGAGATCAATGCACGTATAGTGAAAGCCAGAGCGACTTATGCCAATCTGGGCCATCTATGGCGCCTTCGTGATGTTAGTCTGGCTGTAAAAGGTCGGATCTACAACGCGTCGATGAGAGCAGTTTTGCTCTATGCTCGTGAAACCTGGCCTTTTCGAGTTGAGGACGTTAGACGACTCTCTGTGTTCGATCATCGCTGTCTCCGAAGGATTGCTGACATTCAGTGGCAACACCATGTCAGTAATGCAGAGGTTCGGCATCGTGTGTTCGGGCACAGAGATGATAATTCAATTGGTGTCACCATCTTGAAACACCGACTTCGGTGGCTTGGACATGTTCTCCGAATGTCGTCCCAGAGGATTCCACGTCGTGCATTATTTGCCGACTCTGGGACTGGTTGGAAGAAGCGGAGAGGTGGTCAGTGCATGACATGGTGTCGTGGCATGAAAGAAATCTGCAAAGTACTGGCAGTAGGTGGCGAAGGCAAGAGTGATGGAAAAGGCAGCAGCAATAGGTAATAGCAGACAACTGTTCAGACTTGTTAAGGAAACCGGTATTAGGAACCCAACTGTTAGTGAGACAATCTCAGAGAAAAATAGACATATCATACATTCTCAATCCAGGAGATTGGATCGATGGGCAGAACACTTTAGGGATCAGTTCAACTGGCCTTCAGCCACACTTCGGTTTCCCACGATCTCCAGTCAACCTGAATGGCAAGTTAATTTAGGTCCTCCGACTCTTTACGAAGTTGAAAAAGCTATAGGAAATCTGAAGCGAGGGAGAGCAACAGGCCCTGACAGGTTTACTCCTGAGATTTTCAAGGATGGTGGTTCAGTATTAGCAGTGAGATTGACTGAGGTCTTAGGTAGAATTTGGGAACTGGACGCGATCCCATCTGACTGGTCTCAATCACTGATTGTGCCAGTCTATAAGAAAGGACAAAATCCTCTTGTGACAATCACAGAGGAATCAGTTTGACTAATATAGTGTCTAAAATATTAACTTTAATAATACTTCGACGCTTAACCAATGCAGACTAGAGCAAACCAGGCCGGTTTTCGACCTGGACGTGGTTGTATAGACCACATATTCACACTACGTCAGGTTCTAGGACACAGACACACGTTCAGACGCCCCACAATCGTAGTATTTCTCGACCTTAAGGCGGCATTCGACTCTGTCGATCGTAAGGTTCTATGGCAGTGTTTGTCACTGAAAGGAGTACCAAAAAAGTACATTAACCTTGTAAAGGCTTTCTACTCGAAAACAACTGGTAGAGTGAGAGCTTATGGCGAACTGTCATCAGAATTGATTACCTCAAGTGGTGTTCGTCAGGGCTGTCCACTCTCTCCATTCTTGTTTAACTTTGTCGTTGACGTACTTTTAGAGATAACACTTTCCTCGTCTAGATTTCCAGGGGTTGAACTTCTACCGGGAGGTTCACTTGTTGACTTAAAATATGCCGATGACATAGTTCTATTTGGTGAAGACGCTGACAAAATGCAGAGTCTTCTGACTATTCTAAGCAACAGTGCAAGCATGTTCGGTATGAGATTCTCCCCCTCAAAATGCAAAATGTTGCTTCAGGATTGGGTTGCATCGACACTTGAACTAATGATAGGGAGTGAAGTAGTTGAGCGTGCCGACCGCTTCACTTGGGAGTCGCATCAGCCCTTATGGTCTGGTGTGTGACGAAATCTCAGCACGGATACAGAAGGCTCGACTAGCTTTTGACATTTATGGCATAGGCGAGATATCCGTCTACCAACCAAAGGACGGGTTTACTGCGCAGCAGTTCGTTCCGTCCTACTTTGTGGCAGTGAAGCATGGCCGGTAAGAGTAGAGGATATTCGTGGATTACTAGTATTCGATCATAGATGTCTTCGAAACATTGCTCGTATATCCTGGGACCACCGAGTAAGTAACGCAGTTGTTAGGAAACGGGTACTAGGTAAGGATGGCAAATCTATTGATGACGTAGTGAAACTTCATCAGTTGAGATGGCTGGGACACATGTTACGTATGCCCAACCACCGACTGCCTTGACGTGCGATGTTTTTTCGTTACTTCCAAAAACTTGGTTATATCAAAGTGAATGGAACTTACACAACAGATGATGATAAATATTATTGGCTGAAAACGTAGCTTTCTATTTTCAATTACAAGTAAGAACGAGAAGAAATCTCTCCTCCTTGTTAAAATAAGATCACGAATTCTGGAATTAGAGCTAAGTTCTAGTTGGTGGATTGTCATATTTGACATGAACTAAAAGCAACCATATTACAGCAGAAATTATCATACTAATAACAAAAACAGATATTTCAATGGAGAAATTAATCTAGATGACTACATTTGAGAAAATTGTAGTCATCTTTATATGAATAGATATGATAAACAAGTTCAGTGTTAAAATGCGTCAATTAAATGCTAATTATAAGCTTGATATCATTAAATTTGAGTTTCTCTCTGAAAGTTTCTGGAAAATATTACCGTTAAAATTACAAGTAAGGCGCCCGTATTATTTTGCAACAACCAATGTGAAGCTCTAGATTTATTACCATGTGTAATACTTTATTTATTATAAAATGTCATGAGTCTTTTTGTACATACACATAACTTTAAAAGAAATACATATGTATCATAACGAATTTCCTTTGTGCTATCTTTTTATATTTAGGTTTTCATACACTATCTGTGTATCCGAAAAAAGATGTGCCATTTTTTATTCTATTTATTGCGGCTCTATGCTCTTTAACAGCTATACTTACATGTTTAACTCATGTCTATCCTGAACAAATGGGATCACTTTCTAGTAAGGTGAGTCCAAATAACTTTTCAAAAGTGGATTTTCATGTTTAAACGGGACTATAAGTTTGGTATGATTGCCACTACTATTTGAAGTTTCAATATCTACTCGAAAAACAACAGGAAACTGTCATTTACATATCTTATATTTCTAAACTACTTAAATGATAAAGTCAATCAACTGCTGTATTACACAGCATTAGATACGACTGATCACGTAATGGATGCAATTATTTACCTCATATCTAAAATATTAGTTTGTTAAGTTGCACTTTTATTTATTTTATGGTATTACTTACGTAGTAATGATTATTAGATTATGCGGGCTTACAGTATAGTGAACAAATTAGCTTGACGTTTCGTTCAGTTTCATTGATTGACACTACCGTTTAGATTCTGAAACCAACTAATTATCCTTCTTTCACAGACTCTCAACTGGTTTTTCAGTCCAATCAATTATCTATTGGAAAGACTAGAAGGATTGCTACTTTTGCTAGCTCCAACATCTGCTCGAAAGCTTTTAACTTAAACAACTTAATATTAATTCACATTCAAAAGCATTTTTGTCCTCCAGATGATAATTGTTTCAGTCTTAATGTCATTATGTTGCTTTTTCGTTGTTTATTTCTATTGCAATACCGTTGTTTTGTTCGGTACTTACTTTTCTGGTATTTCACTAATATCATAATTAGCTTTAAAAAATTTCTATTTGTGTTTTGTTCTCAAAAGTGTAGTCCCCAATTTACTATGAAAAAAAAAACTTGCATTTTTAAAAATCAGATTTGTATTTAGTTATTTGTCTACGAAACAAAGAGTGGTTACGTTTTACTATCGAAATGTTTATTAGTTTGATTCCATTCTTCTTCAGTGAATCCAAGCAAGGAGATTTCATCAGGATCCATTAAATTGTTCTCTGCTCGACAACGCAAATAACCGGCCGCTTCAGATCTACATAAAGAATTATTCCAATGATTCTTTTTCATACATTGAGTCCATTCCAACATAGCAACTTTACATACGCCATGATGATCTAACGGAAAGCTTCCTCTTAATGGAGGAAGAACTTGAGATCTATTTGGAATGTAACCTGTGGAACTGGCCGACACTATAAGAAATATCCCCATCCCTAAAAATACAAGACTGAAGTACACAGCGATTTGAAATAAACAGAGGAAATTTAATGGCATATATGAATAATAAACAGATAATAGAGGGATAATCTGATTATGCTTGGAGTTTAGAAGCTTATGACTCATGACAAAACCAATTATAAAGAGTTCAAGCAGTATAAATCATGAAAAAGTGCCATCAGACAAAAAGACTACCCGTTTACCTACCCTTGCTTATAAATAGTTATTATTACTTTTTCGAGCTACTACCATGTCTGACAATCATGGAACGTCTAATCAAGTGCTTAACTTTCGCAACAAGTTCAAGCGCACTTTCACGTAAGCTCATTTGACGAACGACTGTTCAGAAACATAACACTGCAACTTATTGAGAATCTGAATTTGACTTCACCCCGAATGCTCTTTTAGAAAGATGGGTTAAAGTTGAAAATTTTCGTATCATGGTAACCGTTATTATGGCCAGATGCTTGCCACTAGATAAGTAAATGATTTTTCAAAATTTTAAGTTTGATGCTTAACACTTGTGCACACCTTAGAAACGTACTGGTTTACAGGAAAAAAGTCTATTAAACCATGTCACGACATTCGTATGCTCGGTTATTTTATGGGTACAACTAATAGTAAATCAGAATTATCAAGCGTGTACAAACTATTAGCCAGTTAAAAAAGTCACCTAGCGTCACAAACTGTTAAGACTCATATAGAGACCGTGAGATGCTACAACTGATAGTTAAACTACATAACTACTAATGAAACATAATATTTAAAGTTCAGTGTACCTTAATGATAGCAGTTGGCGGTGCATAAAAGATAGACATTCGATGCCGTCTGTGTTGCTAAGTTTACATATCCATATCAAATATGTATGCATCACGATGATATGTATTTTGGGACCACAGAGTTAGTAATGTCTGGGTTAGGAACAGGGTACTAGGTAAGGATATGAAATCGAATAACGAGGTAGTAAATCCTCATCAAATGAGACGGTTGGGATGTGTTACGTACCCCCAACCACCGTCTACCTTGTTGGGCGATGCTTTCCGGTGTGAGAGTAGACTGGAAGAAAGCTAGGGGCGGCCAAACCAAAACATGGCATCAGTCCACGAAGTTGTTGGTAATTGAAACTAGCCATGTTGATAGGTGTAGACTACATGGTTGGGGTCCTCATGATTATCGTGTCCAGTGGTGAGAGACTGAAGGTCATGGTCCAAAATCGTTTGCATTGGTGCACGTCCATTCACTTTCATTATTTCTTTAGAATCTAGTTATTGAAACTTCCTTATGCATGTTTCCCTTTTATACGTACAACTACTGATACTGTTATTACTATTATTTTGGGATTTGTATAAAAAGAACTATTTCATTGAGCTAATGTGGTATGGAAATCTTGAACCGATAATCCTAAATGCCAGGTTCTCCTTTGCAAATGACTGAGTGACTTAACACTACTGCCGCCTAAGGCTCAAATTTCCCTTTATTAGTCCCCGAACCGCAAACGAGCAAAGATGATTTCAAATAAACCTATACATTCGTATAAATTTAAACTGTACATTTATGCAGGGTACGAAAAGAAAAACTCCGACGGGATAAATTCCAGGTATATCCAAATGAAAGCAGGTGATTGCATATGATTTATCTTTATGCACAACTAAAAGAATTGCCAATGAAAATTAATGGAAGTCAATATCCGAAACCTAAGGAAGTACGGTCAGTCGTTCTTGACCAACATGTATCGAGGCACAAAAGTGCGTCAGTCCAGGTTGCTGTGCCACATTACTAAGACGTGATGTTATTGCTATAAATAGCAAGAGAGTTAAAATAATAATTCTGCGAAGTTAAATATTTCAAAATAAGGATGGGTCTGAAAAATTATGGAACAATTTTGAAGATCAACATTGAGAGAAAAGTAAGGATTAAGTGGACCTATGTCATTATGATCGATTCTAACCCAAATCACTCGGAGTCTCTAATTAATAAATGCGCAGACACGAACCAAGTAGCCCTCACCAACTCCTAGAGCAATCATTTCATAAATTGTTGACTTCATAGTCTGATACCATGTTTTGGTTTAGCAACCTCTCCGAAGTTTACTTAAACATATTTCCACCTCAACCAGCATCGTGCTTCAGAGAAGACGGTGGCCAAGTATCCGAAGCATATGTTCTACGCACAGCAGTCGATAAAGACTGGTAGCTCTATTAACCCTTTGATATATTGCTGAGCAGCTTACACCATAACCACAATGCACATTTAGTTGCTCCAAAGCCAAACATCAAATCAGCGGTATATTCATCCCTTCATTCGTGAACGGACACCTCGCGTACCCTAGAAGCAGCCAAAGCCGAGAAAGATCGAGAGAGCTTTTTGAAGCAATGTGGTAATTCCCCTGATCAACTATAGACCAATGCAATATAAAGGACTAAGCTAACAAAACTTACAGAAATGTCAAGCTGAAAAATCACTGGAAGAAATTAGAACAATCAACCTCACAACATTACCTAGTAAAGAAAAGAAATTTCGGTATAAAAATGAGTTTATTGGTTATGACAGTAAATTATGTACAGTTTTCAATTGTGCATGATAGGTACCACGCATGCACTCGGTTCACCGACATCTCTTAATAGCAACGCAATCTGGAAAAATCAGAAATTTTCCAGTAATAAAATAACATTTAGAAAATACATGGATATTTAATACTCTGACAGTTAAAATGAACCTGATCGAATAAAGAAATTATGTCGTTTTCTGTGGTTATCAATGGATAAAATTCGCCTTCAATTCAAATCAGAGAAGGGTTTTGTCGATATTATAGCAATTTAGTGGATGAATTTATGAGTCAATCGAAGTTAGACCACCATTGAAATCCTGGAAGCACTGGACGGCCGTTGCGTTCTAGTATAAGACTCCTCATCAGTGCGCATTCACGACCCCGCCTCGCGAGATTCGAACCCAGGATGTATCGGTCTTGCGCGCGAACACTTAACCTCTAGACTACTGAGCCGGCATCCAACGGTGTTCAATTTTTATCTAGTAAGGGACTAGTGTATAAATAGAGAAGATTGACGTGTAAAGTCTATAGACTAAAATGGTTTTACTACTTTATCTTATGTTATTTAGGCTTATTAACATTTATATTTATCAATCAAGTGAAGCTATGTGTTCATGAAATAATACACAGTGGAGACCGTAGCAATTAGAAAGGTACACTGAATCCACTAACTTTAGTCTAAGCTTTTGGCATTTATGAGCGTAGTATTTGTGGAAGCACAAAAACCCGATTTAGTGACAGAAAATACCTGTCATATGGTTATGATACATATAATGAAACTTATAAAATAATAATATAAATGGAAGAATTGAATTTCGATATCAAAAATAACAACAGCAATACAGAAAGAAATTCAATTCACGATAAACAGTACGATATTTACAAAACGACTGAAATTACTCACTTTGTTTTGAAGATTCGCTTAAAATTGAACATGGACTGTTGGCCACCCTGTAATACATAAAATAACATCGATTTCTGAATAAATATAGATTTACCATTGACTTTTTGAATAGGTAGTTTACATTATCTTGATCATGCTAGTTAGTACTTAAATGTCTTTTTATCACCGGAAAACTACTGAAATACAAGTAGGAGATCGTTCTTTGTATTAAAATGGATTTACATCTCAGTAATCAAAGTCATCTAAATAGCATTAATCTCATACATAGCGCATGTTCGAATCGTTTTGAATGTGTTACTTGTGTGACTGATGTGACGTTACGGTAAATCAGTAATATGTTTTTGAAATGACTCCTGGACGGTACGATGTGAAGTAGTAGGTAATATTACTTCCTATTTTAAACAAAGACTAAGTTTTAATTTCAGAAAATATAAGGACTTGACAATATTTTCATGAGAAAACAATGATAAAAACTGAGTATATATACTTCACATTATTACCACAGATTTGAAACGTACCTAGAACTGCGTGAGATCACGTTCATACCTAAGAATTAGTAGTGGGAAAAGGCTTTTAGATATTATATTGAAGTATAGATACGTCAATTTAATTAACTGACATTAAATTCATTACATGACGCCGCAAACCGTTAGAGTCAAACTAGTGCCTTTGAACATACTTGCACTTATAATATCAGAACAACTGGGTAAAAATAAGATCTTTAAAAATAACTTCCACAATATCCACTGCTAGATTGTATTTGAGCAACTATTGTACCCATTCTTGTTCACCAAGGTGATATAATGTGAGGTGGTCAAACAGCAATTCTAAAACTAATCAAAAAGTGTCTTCACTTTCTTGAAGCTTTCCAAACTGTAAATAGATAATTAACCGGAAAGCTGCTTGGCACAGTAGGTCGATAAAAATAAAAGTAACCGCTGTTAGCCCAAAAAATAAGGTCAATTTACATTAAGAATATATTATCTACAGGTCTTGACTACATATTATTCAAACTGTTCTTTTTAGAGTAGCCCGTTTATTACTATTCAACCTGATGGGTATAGATTACTTTAGAATATTTTACACCAAGAAAAAGAGAGCAGTTGGAAAAAGTTACAAGTTCCTGTTTACTTTTCTCTCCATTAGATACATCCATAATGAAAAGGGTAGTATTTTCAACGCGGACTCGTTTTCATATGTATTATGTCACGGTTTATTGCTGGAGGAGGAAGCATACATTTAGCGATGACAGCTAGAGGTTTATGAGCGCAACTGTTAGCCTAAAAAAGATTATTGGAAGCTGGGACCAAAATAAGAAAAAGAATAATTTTGATGAACGAGGATGCGCATCGTATTTAGCTCACCTAGGACAAACCATCGAGGTGAAGTGACAGTATGTGGCCAAAAAATCTTGAGCGACTTCTACCCCAAAAAATAATAAGTGAAGACGCTTTTTCAACAGTTTTGACTGAGACTGAAGGAATACTGAATAGTCGGCCGCTGGTAAAACGAACGAACTGTGGTGCCTCAGAGATCTTCATCCAAAATATACACCGAAAAGTATAGATGAGCATTGGTTGCAATTGCATGACGCCATGAAAATGGCGGGAACAGTCAGTTGTGGGTTTGCGAAACGTCCCGCTTTTAAGCACTGGGTTTCTTCTGGTTCCTTACAACTCATTGAAGCCCGTCGGTCTACTCCGGGTGACCGTGAGTTTGACCATAAACGAAGGATGTTACGTAAGGAAATTGGGCAAAGCTTGCGTAAGGACCGAGAAGCCTGGTGGTCGATGCGTGCTAATGAGCTGGAAGCAGCAGCTGCATCTGGTAACTACCGGAAGCTCTTCCAGCTCATCCGAGCCACTGGCAGCAAGAAGTCTGGTGTGAGTGAAACAATCTGCGAGGATGATGGGATGCCAATCACTAACATCCATCGACGTCTTGGACGATGGGCAGAATTTTTCGAAGGGCAGTTCAACTGGCCTGCTGCTCCGGCAACATCGGTCAGACTGTCCTGCCCTCCATGGCCGGTGACGACTGATCCACCAAATGAGGAGGAAGTCCGCAAGGAACTCCAACTCTTGAAGCGTTACAAATCACCTGGCCCAGATGACTTACCTCCGGCTCTTTTTAAAGATGGTGGTGACTTTTTGACTAAGGAATTGACGACGTTGTTTACAAAGGTTTGGGAACTAGAGAGTGTACCAACGTCATGGAATGAGTCGATAGTTGTCCCTATCTTTAAAAAGGGTTCACGTCGTTCTTGTAACAACTATCGGGGGATAAGTTTACTTCCGATTGCGTCCAAGCTATTGGCTTCCGTCATTCTTCGTAGGTTGTTCAAAACCCGAGAAAGATTGACTCGCGAGGAGCAGGCTGGGTTTCGTTCTGGTCGAGGATGTATTGATCATATCTTCACCCTCCGCCAAATGTTAGAACACCGCCATACTTTTCAAAGGCCAACAATCGTAGTGTTTCTTGACATCAGGGCTGCCTTCGATTCGTTGGATAGGACTGTTCTCTGGGATTGTCTATTGAAGAAGGGTGTGCCTGAGAAGTTTATTAACATCCTAAAAGCCCTGTATAAAAACACCTCAGGCAGAGTGAGGGCATACAACCACCTCTCTCCATTGTTCCATTCGAGCAGTGGGGTTAGGCAGGGTTGCCCAATCTCACCATTCCTCTTCAACTTTGCCATCGATGACATTCTGGAAACAGCTCTGATGAATGTAAGTAATGGTGGTGTGGATCTGTTGCCTGGAGAAAGACTTCTCGACCTTGAGTATGCGGACGATATTGTCTTACTGTGCGATAATGCCCAAGGCATGCAATCCGCACTTAATCAGTTGGCAATCAGTGTCCGTAGGTATGGTATGTGCTTTGCACCTTCGAAGTGCAAAGTACTTCTACAAGACTGGCAGGATTCTAATCCTGTACTCACCCTGGACGGTGAGCAGATAGACGTAGTTGAGAAGTTCGTGTATCTGGGTAGCTGCATAAGTGCTGGTGGGGGTGTGAGTGATGAGATCAATGCACGAATAGTGAAAGCCAGAGCGGCTTATGCCAATCTGGGCCACCTTTGGCGCCTTCGTGATGTTAGTCTGGCTGTAAAAGGTCGGATCTACAACGCGTCGGTGAGAGCAGTTTTGCTCTATGCTTGTGAAACCTGGCCTCTCCGAGTTGAGGACGTTAGACGACTCTCTGTGTTCGATCATCGCTGTCTCCGAAGGATTGCTGACATTCAGTGGCAACACCATGTCAGTAATGCAGAGGTTCGGCATCGTGTGTTCGGGCACAGAGATGATAATTCAATTGGTGTCACCATCTTGAAACACCGACTTCGGTGGCTTGGACATGTTCTCCGAATGTCGTCCCAGAGAATTCCACGTCGTGCATTATTTGCCGACTCTGGGACTGGTTGGAAGAAGCGGAGAGGTGGTCAGTGCATGACATGGTGTCGTGGCATGAAAGAAAGCTGCAAAGGACTGGCTTGTGTTGGTCCTTCACGACTCCCTGGTTGGGGTCCGAGAGATGGTGCTACACAGTGGCTAGAGACGTTATCAGATATGGCTCAGAATAGAAGCCAGTGGCGATCCTGCTGTAACCTTCTTTTACTTTCTTCATAAAAAGTGGTTGTGTCTCCCTTACCTGAAAGATTTCTTCTGATTGTACCTCTTCGTCATTACTCTCTTTTTCTTTTGCGTTCCTTAGTTTTTTTTTTCTCTTTCTACTTCTCTTCGAATTCCCATTGTTTTGTGTGGCGCATATATATTGGCGCTCTCTTGTACCAATATTTATGTGTTCAAATAAATAAATAAATGAGCTCTGCGGTCACATTCCCAGGTCGTTGAGACCCTTTCAGGTTCCTCAAGAAATACCCTTCCACGGTGTGGGCAGCTGGAAAGTGATATCAGCCCTCATACCCGTAACAGCACACGAGACCAAGTTGGTCACAATCAAATCCTTCCTACACCTCCTAGTAACTCTGTTATCTCCACGACTGATCCTTCTCACATTTCTTTATCACCTCACGCTGCTAATGCAAACGATTTGAGTACGCGGAACGTTATTCCTGGTCTCCTGAAACCACGCTCTTCACTACATGTAGGAGCTTTTAACGTCCGAACACTGTAACAAATAGGACAACAGGCTTGCTTAGCTAAGACTTTAGAATCGATGTGCGCTGAGTCTCCGAAACGCACATAAAGTAGCGTCATTCATTTGACCTTACCATATCAAAATAAAGAAACATCTTTATTCACTTTTCGTTTATCTGGAAGCCCTAATGCTGCTTCCCGTAGCCTCGTTGGTGTAGGTATAGCAGTGAGTCCTAGGGCACAACTAGCTCTCTTAGACTGGATCCCAGTAGACCGTCGTTTGTGCGCTGCACGGAAACCTCTTAGGGTCCTATTTAATTATAGTCAAGCTAAGAGTATACTTCAGGAACAACTAGGTAAACAGTTAGGCAACTATGCAGGTGATGCCTACCCCGAGGCAACATGGAATGATAACCGAAAAGCTGTGGAAACAGCAGTGATATCTGCAAGTACGGTAAACCATAAGGTTAGGGAGCAACACTGGATCTCAGCAGCATCTACCGCACTGGTAAATGCTCGACAACTCAGTCCATCTTGATCTGAAAATAACGAACAGTGGTGGGTAGCGAAAGCAAGAGAGACGGAAAAGGCAGCAGCAATAGGTAATAGCAGACAACTGTTCAGACTTGTTAAGGAAACCGGTATTAGGAACCCAACTGTTAGTGAGACAATCTCAGAGAAAAATAGACATATCATACATTCTCAATCCAGGAGATTGGATCGATGGGCAGAACACTTTAGGGATCAGTTCAACTGGCCTTCAGCCACACTTCGGTTTCCCACGATCTCCAGTCAACCTGAATGGCAAGTTAATTTAGGTCCTCCGACTCTTTACGAAGTTGAAAAAGCTATAGGAAATCTGAAGCGAGGGAGAGCAACAGGCCCTGACAGGTTTACTCCTGAGATTTTCAAGGATGGTGGTTCAGTATTAGCAGTGAGATTGACTGAGGTCTTAGGTAGAATTTGGGAACTGGACGCGATCCCATCTGACTGGTCTCAATCACTGATTGTGCCAGTCTATAAGAAAGGACAAAATCCTCTTGTGACAATCACAGAGGAATCAGTTTGACTAATATAGTGTCTAAAATATTAACTTTAATAATACTTCGACGCTTAACCAATGCAGACTAGAGCAAACCAGGCCGGTTTTCGACCTGGACGTGGTTGTATAGACCACATATTCACACTACGTCAGGTTCTAGGACACAGACACACGTTCAGACGCCCCACAATCGTAGTATTTCTCGACCTTAAGGCGGCATTCGACTCTGTCGATCGTAAGGTTCTATGGCAGTGTTTGTCACTGAAAGGAGTACCAAAAAAGTACATTAACCTTGTAAAGGCTTTCTACTCGAAAACAACTGGTAGAGTGAGAGCTTATGGCGAACTGTCATCAGAATTGATTACCTCAAGTGGTGTTCGTCAGGGCTGTCCACTCTCTCCATTCTTGTTTAACTTTGTCGTTGACGTACTTTTAGAGATAACACTTTCCTCGTCTAGATTTCCAGGGGTTGAACTTCTACCGGGAGGTTCACTTGTTGACTTAAAATATGCCGATGACATAGTTCTATTTGGTGAAGACGCTGACAAAATGCAGAGTCTTCTGACTATTCTAAGCAACAGTGCAAGCATGTTCGGTATGAGATTCTCCCCCTCAAAATGCAAAATGTTGCTTCAGGATTGGGTTGCATCGACACTTGAACTAATGATAGGGAGTGAAGTAGTTGAGCGTGCCGACCGCTTCACTTGGGAGTCGCATCAGCCCTTATGGTCTGGTGTGTGACGAAATCTCAGCACGGATACAGAAGGCTCGACTAGCTTTTGACATTTATGGCATAGGCGAGATATCCGTCTACCAACCAAAGGACGGGTTTACTGCGCAGCAGTTCGTTCCGTCCTACTTTGTGGCAGTGAAGCATGGCCGATAAGAGTAGAGGATATTCGTGGATTACTAGTATTCGATCATAGATGCCTTCGAAACATTGCTCGTATATCCTGGGACCACCGAGTAAGTAACGCAGTTGTTAGGAAACGGGTACTAGGTAAGGATGGCAAATCTATTGATGACGTAGTGAAACTTCATCAGTTGAGATGGCTAGGACATGTGTTAATTATGCTCAACGACCGACTGCCTCGACTTGCGAAGTTTTAAGGTGTAGATGTAGGTTGGAAGAAAGCTAGGGGCGGCCAGACCAAAACATGACACAAATCCATGAAGTCACTGACAAGCGGACCGAGCCATGTTGGTAGGTGTAAACTGCCTGGTTGGGGTCCGCGAAATGATAGCACTCGATGGTTGGAGACCTTGAATGACATTGCTCAAAATTGTTTCCAATGGTGCAGGTGTGTCCACTCTGTGATATTCCAAATTATAATCTTCTGGATTTTTCATGGCCTTTTTTTCTCTTTCTAATTTTATAACACTGTATTGTACTCCTTGAATAACATCTTCAAACCCTAATGTTTCCGATTACTGCTTATACTTTTACTACCTCTACCACCACGGGATTTGAATCATCAATTGTATCTGTGTGCTCAAGTGGTATGGCAACTCGAACTGATGTACGTACGTATGAATTTCTATGTTGTTACTGAGTGGTTATCGTTTTTTTTAGCGAGTTAGTTTTCTATGAGATGGGGTAGCTAACCTGACCGACTAACTGAATTTACTCTAATCTTATCGAAAATCTAGATGTGGTTGTAAAAGTCTATCTTAAAATTCTGAGCATGCTCTGTTGATAACGTACTAACAACTAACATACGAGGAGTATTGAGAAACGAAAATCAAAATATCCGATAGATATTTCACAGTTACTTGAGTTCCCATTCGATGATACTTTTTCTCACCCTATAAATTATAAACAGAACTTTAGATATCTTATGGCACCAACGTTACTTTTGAAAAGAATGGCAACTAAACTAACAAAAAAAAGACCGAGTAAACTTACTTTTTAATCTTATTAAATTTGACTTGAAACTATTATTATTAAATTCCTTATTCAATTTGTCTTTGATCTCAGCACTAGGAGTAGCAGTTTTATCACTTCTATGCATGACTACAATTTTACTTTTGTTCACTTGAGAACTGCCATGTTTACAACTTTTTACTTGCGATGATATCAATTTACCATCGTCTTTGCCAGGTCGGTTAATAGTTGTTAATATCTTTGAAGACATTCTATCTAGAGAAACATCTGCCTTGTTCTTAAAACTTTTAGATTGATTTAGCACAGTTGATTTTCGGGAAGATTTATTTACATTGAAATTATTTATTATTGATGAATAGTTTGAAGACTCTAAGAATCGTGGGAATGAATCGGTTCTCATTAATGTATATACCTAGAAATTTGAACAAAATATACATTATAGATAATAAGGAGAAATAAGTAATAAACTAAATAAATGAATCGATAAAAGTAAAACGGTAAACGTATGTGAAGTAATCAAGTAAAATGACTCGACCCGAACATGGAACCCATCAGCTGCTCCACATAAATGATAAAATTCATTGCTATATGTATATCAGTAAGTAGAACCTGGTAAATATGTGCATCGTTTCAAGTTGCCATACGCCATTAGTACAGACAGATAAAACTACTAGGCAAAACACCTAAATAGTAAAAGTACTAACTGTATAAGTGGTAATAGATTAGGGATCAAAAGCACGATTCAAGAAGAAAATATAAATCAGTGATATGAAAACAAAAGCAGTTATGAGGCATTCAAGAGCTCTGAACTTGAGGGGAACGACAAAGAAGTGATGCACCTGCACCATTGGAAACGATTTTGGCCATGACCTTCAGTCTCTCACCACTGGACACGATAATCATGAGGACCCCAACCATGTAGTCTACACCTATCAACATGGCTAGTTTCAATTACCAACAACTTCGTGGACTGATGCCATGTTTTGGTTTGGCCGCCCCTAGCTTTCTTCCAGTCTACTCTCACACCGGAAAGCATCGCCCAACGAGGTAGACGGTGGTTGGGGGTACGTAACACATCCCAACCGTCTCATTTGATGAGGATTTACTACCTCGTTATTCGATTTCATATCCTTACCTAGTACCCTGTTCCTAACCCAGACATTACTAACTCTGTGGTTTAAAAATATATGAGCAATGCTTCAGAAACACTTATGATCTGGCATCAGTCACCTGTAAATATCCTCTACTCTTAATGGTCATGTTTAACACCCATAAAGTAGAACTGAGCTTACTGTGTAGCAGTAAGCTCGCCCTTTGTTTGGCAGATGGATCTCTCCCCCACGCAACAAGTGACGCAAGTCGGCGAAACCAAATCGAGCCCTCCTAATCCGTGCCGAGATTTCGTCGGACACCACACTATCAGGATTGATGAGACTCCCAAGATAAATAAAGTGGTCGATGCGTTCAACTACTTCATTCTTTATCATTAATTGAAAAGCTGACACAACCTATCCAGAAGTAACATCTTACTTTATGTTTGTTTTGACAGCTTTAAGCTGAAGTGATTGATCGATAAGTCAGTTATTATATTTTACAATACAGTAATCAAATCATTTGAGTTTTCAAGTTCAAACACAGACTTATTCGCAAAAGCACATGTATATTTTGATATCATTTCAGGGTCAACTAGAAAAGTGCCATCTTTACGAATGATTTCAAACGCACTAATAATAACATGAATTATATGGATTTTGTGGACTCGTTATATTATTTCCTAAATATAACTTAGTACCTATTTTCAGGAAACTGTATAAAAAAGTTGCAGTAAGACGTGCTTTCATTTTTCTAAATTAAAATGAATATATATATATATATATCAGTCTATGAAAATGACACATGTGCTGAATGATCTTAAAATTTTTAAGTGTTAACGTTTCAGGAGGTTACTGAAATGGAGAACTTGAATCTAGGTAAGAATATTATGTAGAATAAACGTGAAGGATTTAAGAATAAAAGTAAATCGTATAAATAATTCAGCCTGCTAAACATAAGGACGTTTAGTTATCACTATAATCTAGATTTTAATTTACCTGATTTTCAGCTTCTAAGAACATATCTACATGAGGATGTGATAAACAAGATGAGGCAGATTTCATAGCTAAATGATCTATGTTTACAGCTTGAGGAGCATCAGAAACCAAGAATTGACTAAATATCTCATTTGCTTTCTTTTTCACCTTAATGAAATCAAAAAACGAAAAGAATACATTGATATTACAACCGAAATTAAAACCTTTGGTCACCAAAAAAATAAACGTGAATAATATGAACAATGTAACGGGTGCTACGGTTATTTTTCTATTAATCAGCTAGTCCGAGATAATGTGCGAATTGGTAATAAAATGTCTTAGTCCCGGTTGTCACAATTTACAAAAGCACAGAGAGTGTATAAATCAGCAGTCGAAAAATACACATGAAAGATGAATTTTATTCCATCAGGGCCATTGGTTTTGACTCAAAGTCGAGTAAGAGATATCCGGTTTCATAATGCTGACCACTCAAATGAATGCAGGACAAAAAACTACCTACAAATTTAGAGGGGAAGGTGATGTATGATGGTCTTGAGTGCTGTTAGAGGTATGAGGGTGGTTATCACTTCCCGGTTGCCCACACCGTGGAAGGGTTGTTCTGGAGGTACCTGAAAATGAAATTGGATTAGAGGTGGTCTTAGTGACCTGGGAGCGTGACCGCAGTAACCAAGGGACAACTGCTTGAGGTCGGTCACATACGACCTTTCTACGGGTAATTTTTGTGTTAGCTCCGTACTTGTTGAGACTTTACCGCCGGAGACGGATATCCGTGGGACAAGGCGAGGTGTGCATTTTTAGGGTCGACCTTTTCTAACCCCACCCCTCCTTGCGGGAAGGCAGCATCGCTGTCGTGCTGGGTGTCTGAAGGAAACAACTTACTGCAGTTACACCTTTGTACAGTCAGCAGTACGACTTCACCTTCGGACCCTGGGTTTGTTGCTTTTAGTCTTACCGATCTCCAGCCAACCTGTCTGTCATGGTAGGACCTTGAGGAACGGTTGTTCCAGCCAGTATAGCTTGGTTGCTTCATCACGATAGGCAAGCTCGATCACCACGTCAAGGTAGCAACAACGGTCCGGTAGTGAATTTAAAGTATGATTGGCCATTGAATGTGAACAAACAGGATACTTAGCGTACGGGATATTAAATATGTGATTTCCTTTCCTGTTACGGATTTCTATTCCGGATTCACTGGGAGTGACTGCTTGTAATTGTGTGGATAAAGTAGTTTGGTCTGTACTGTGGTTCTCTATTCGGGATCGTGAGTCCTGGTTCTGATATAACATGACCAGTTTTTTACCGTATTAACGTGTTATTTTAGTATACTTGAGGGAGAAAAAATATTTTGAACCGTCCGTTGTATCAGTAACCGAAGATTTCTAAACATAGATTACAACTACCCCGCAGATCCCTAGTGCAAAGACTGGCCAACTAAAATGCCTCAATCGAACTGTCATTTACTTTGTGGAGTGGTTCGATTTTTTCGTTTGGCTTCTCCTTGATGTAAATTTAGTGAAAAGCCAATATCATAGTTGAAAGCTGAGGAAGAATGTTATCAGAGTAAGTCGATTTAGAACACATATTTTTTACCAGTAATTATTAGTTACATTCATAAAGAACTACAGTGAATCTTTGCCAGTGTTTTTGTCAAACTGATATTTGGATATTAACAGTGCAGATTTGTATCATAAAATGAGGATCTAGATAAATCAGATGACTTAAGACGCTATTATTTTAGGGACCGTATTATTAAGACTAGTTCTTGCATCATCACAAATGTATTTCTATCCCAGAGATTCTGTAGAAACAGTGGATCTGGAGTTCCCACAGCGCAACGATAGCTGTATTATGTTATCATATGTTTGGACATTGAGACTTCGTGAAAGACATACTGTGGTACATGCAAAACAATGTCTTTAAATATAGCTCAAGACTGAAGTCAATGGAAATTCTGTTGTATATTAATTTTGTTATCTACATAAGCATTTACGTGTAGTTTACAAGAGAAATGAACTTATATTAGTTGGTGTGGTATATTTCGTGCTGCTTCAATGTGTCCATTTGTTCCGTTAGAGTCAATACTATAAGAAAAACCACAAAGGATCATGAACTAAGCGGACCGAGTTGGAAAATGGAATTTTGAAGGGATGGAAAATATTCAAACAGATTTTAATTAGTCAAGTAAAAGAACACACGGACAAGTCTCACAGTTTAACATTGCTAACCAACTATATACGTCTATACAACAATCATTAATAACGATTACAGATCACAGAAATAAAAGTGACTTACATTCCCGGTTTCAAAGGAATGACGCCAACTACGGACTGAAAGCAAAAAATCAAGATTTTCACTGCTGAATTCTGTTATCAGAAATTTCTGAAAGGAAAAGAAAGTAGCGGCAAGTTGAGATAAAAAAGTATTAAGTTAATTCAAAGAAACCCAACTAAATATTCTAAAGACAAACCACTGAAGTTGAGCAATAAATAGTCATAAAACAAGTGAGGAGACAAGCGTTTGGGCGAAATATGTGGTATGCTAGAAATTGGTTTATTCATTTAATACATACACCTTGCTGACGAGTGCCAAGTAGCACGAAACCCGGGTCCAGGGTTTCCTGTCGACTACCTCCAACCACCATCTCAATCTCAATACATAGTGCCCGCAGTGTCGAGTCACCTAGACTGGTGGCCACATTGCAACATGATCGATAGCAATCGATCTGCACTAATAATAAGGACTAGACAAGCATGACACTGATCACCACCCAGTGATCAATCAATTGTGATTTAATACATACGTTTACAATTACAGAGTATCATATTGACACAGTAGCGCGAATTACCCCTAACTGTCAGGTTTTAATTGATTGGAGAGTAAGTGACCTACAAACGGATTCCCTTGAATAACCTGGGACATTTCATCATGTTATTTTGTGCTGGTGTTTTGTAAATGAATATTTCATCTTAATGCATAGAAAAAACTGTCCTTCTGGCTAGCGGTCTTATCTTTAGTTTCAAACTATTTTGATGTTTAAACCATAGCTTGTTATCATGTGTAGACATCACATAAGGCATCATTCCATATAATGGATCGAGCGACCATTTCTTCCATTGATTTTTACGATAGAAATTTCGTTCATTAAATATAGAAATTCCCATAACAAGTAGGACTAACAAAACACCACTCTCTATAAAAAGCAATGGATTATAGTAAATGTACAAGTTAAATAAAACCAAGCAGAATACCGATATAATATCCGAAAAAAAGGTGGATTATTGACTGACGGATGAATTATTTTAATTAGCAAAATTCATCACCGCAGTTGATGAAAGTATGACAGGTGGCAAAGTAAGAAACGTTATACATAAAAATCAGCCCGATAAAATACGAGGATATTATCATTTTGACCTTTCTCAGTCTCTCCCGATCCATACCTGCGTTTAGCTGATGTCCGTAGTTGATATCTATTAGCAATTAACACCGCATAACATTACCATTAAAGAGACACTTCAGAGAATGTATTCATGGATGATTCATTATTTCCGTGGAAAGAAAGAATAGTGATTTCGGAAGTTGCTAATATCTCATACATCCAGGTTTGTGACAAAACCATATTTTATGATCGAAATTTTCTTACGCTAAAATTTCACAACACGTTCAACAATCAATGAATCGACGATTAAAAGATATCACAATCCTGTGTTTAAACGCACTAGAATATAATGCGCTGTACATTTTTTGGAATAAGTCAGTCAGTCAGCGACAACTTAGGACCAGGAACGTGTATACATCGGTCCAAGTTGCCACACCTCATTAGCACAACAAGATCAACACCGAATTCATAGAAGTAGTGGTAGGACTCTAATTTATGGACGAGCCAATCAGAAGCGTTTAAGGAGTTTCAAGGTCATGGCTCTAAATTCAATGCGAGATGCTCACATTCGGTCGTTTTACAGCAGATTTTAGAGAAGAGGTGATCGTTGAGAGACTACAGCAGATGGGACTATTAAGAAGTTCCTGTGTCTGTGACTGCGGCAGTCAAATGACCGCAGCACGATGTGCAGACTACCGCGATGACATTGTATTTCGTCGTACTATATGTTGGAGAAAAAAATCTGCTCGAACTGGCACTTTTTTTGCCCGGTCACGGCTAAGGCTAAGACAAATCATGATAATCGTTGCAAATTGGATCATAAAGTCTCCAGTAACATTAGCTGCGGCTTTTGCAGATGTTACGGAAACTTCCGCTGTTCAGTGGCATGAATATTGTCGTGATATATGCGCAATGAAAATGACACGAGTACATGAATCATTTGGAGTTGGAAAGATAGTGGAAATAGATGAGGCGCTAGTTAGAAAGCGAAAATACAATAAAGGACGTTTTATCAAAGAAGATTGGGTAAGTAGCACTTCCGTGAATATACTTGACAGGTACTTGGGTTTTACGATCGTTCAACTCAAATAGGACATTTTCAAAGAGTAAGAAACCGTCAGGTAACGACAATCATACCAATCATCAAGGAGTACGTTCAGCCTGGCACGACGATCTATACCGATGATTGGAAAGCGTATAGATGCCTCTCGAGACTTGGTTTTGTGCATCATGTTGTGGTGCACAAACGTCATTTTGTTGATCCAACGACGGGGGTCCATACAAACAACATTGAGGGTATGTGGTCTAGGCTGTAGTATTTGTTAAGACCCTACCACGGCTCCAGAAGACGATTATTATGGAGCCATATGGACGAGTTCTTATACCGCATGCACTGTGATTTCAAAACTTCTGAACCTTTATCAAACCTCAACAAGTTCTTAAATCATATAAAAGAAGAATATCCATTGTAACTCATCAGTTTTTTATAATATATTTTTACTTTATACTAACTCTCTTCTGATTGACTAATGTTCTCAAGGTCACTTAAAAATACGTTCAAAGGTCGTCCATAAAATAGAGTTTCACCGAAGTAGTTAGTTCAATGGCAGCAATATATAAAAGAAAGATTGTGTATAAGAATATAATCCAGGAAGAAAGAATTAGTTGGTAGAAAGAAAGGTATAAAGCAATTTTAATTTCATACTTTAAATAGAGAAAATCAGTCTTTAACAACAATCACCGTTAAACAACATTCTACTTCAAACAGTATCCTGAATTAGATTCCTGAATGGTGAAAGAAAATAAGAAGAAAAAAGCGTAATTACCCTAAATTCACTGCAACCGACAGGGTCATTCAGAAGATTATCAAAATCTTTCGCCCAGGACATTGGATTTGATGACGTACTTGACGGATCATTAGGTGGCTCTATATTTTCAGTATCTTCAATTTCAGTAGTAGAACTAAAACAACTGATTTTTGGTAGCTGTTCATCACAATTCGTTTTTACCTATGCATGAAACAAAAATAAATAAATGTCCTACTGATTAATGTTGGTACCACTTAATATTTTTGGAATAAGTAATATACATTATTTTAATGCAACCCTTAACATAGAGTGTAACAAAACAGACAGTTCGATAGAAACGAAAACAGATTTCTGGTCATTTACAACATTAAGTACATAATGAGATAGACAAATCAGCTAGTTCAATACTTTTCAATTTGAATTTTTAGTCTTTATCCCTCAAATTATAGAGGAAATCAAGCAGAATAAAAATCCTGATATGTATTAAACCAGCTATTACTGGAACCCATGTGCGCCATTCTAATCGATCAACTTAGAAGTATTCTTAATGTTATTAAAAACATCATCAACAGAGCTCCCATCAAGAAACTCAACTTCTCACCCTAGATAGCGAGGCAGGGACGAAGAGGATAGAAGCAGTCTTGTTCCCAGTGTTGGGACTGAAGTTGCAATATATTGGCTTGGTGCAATAACATGTCAACCTACTAATGGGTAGATTTTGATTGGTATATATATAATGGTAATTTTAGGATTGTAGTATCGAATCCATAGATAATTTACTAACTTTCAACTAGCCTTTTAACTGTACCATTGACGTTTGGAAAGTGTACACAAGCGAGTATTTCACTAATGACAGTGTGTTAAAAACAAAAAGAAAATTCGAAATTCAGACAACTATGGTTCACTTAAGGAGTTAGTTTCCTAGCTGCTCATGGTATTTGTTAGCATGTTCCACCACCGAAAGATAATCTTGTGAAATGGTACGTCTGACTGTATATACAAGGATGTTTAAGATTTAAATGAAATTATCAAAATTCAAATACCTTTAGTTCACGTCGATCTAATATCATTTAGTTCACTTTACTACAGTAAAGACGAAAACGTTTGAACTTACCGTTTCCAAAGAATTCTTTGAACTCACAATTCGTGAACTTAAAGATGAAGTGGCCTTTAAAAACTTTGAGATCAAGTTCGGATTTATTGGTTCAGGAAGAGAATTACGGGATCTTTTAGGCTGTAAGTGTGGAAATATGGTAAAGGAGAAAGAAATAATGAAATAGCTGAGATATTATGTCTTGCAAGTAGAGAATTGTATATATTTGCAAGAGGGAAATTTAAAACAAATGAACTAGTTAATTACTGAGTCAAGACATCAGTTGTCAACTGAAAATTGGCACTGTTCAAAAACTCAGCATGAGTGGATAGAGAGACTTAAATTGACACTTGCATTCGAATCGAATTTGAGTAATCTATGACTAACGATAAACAGCATAAACAAGGCGACTCGATCCTAAAATATCCTTGAGTGGCCTATAAATGATGCAACGGACATGCTATTTTTAGGTGGATATCACCAACCATTAAGAGTCGAAGATACGCGTGACTATCGTAATCAATGGTTGGAGACTCTTGGTAACACGGCTCTGAATAGATCACAATGGTGTAGATGTATACACTTTCTGTCTTCCCTTGAACTAAGAGTTTAAAATCGCTTCATATCTTTCTTTCTACGAACTAATTCTTTCTTCCCCAACCAAGTAGTCTGCATCTACCAACATGGCTCAGACTAGAAGTTAGTGACTTCAAGCACTGATGCCACGTTTTGGTTTGGCCGCCCCTAACTTTCTTCCAACCATCCCCAACACCGGTTAGCATTGCACGTCGTGGTAATCGGTGTTCAGGCATACGTAACACGTGGCCCAACCATCTCAGTCGATGAAGATTCATAACCTCATCAACTGATTTACCATCATTCCCTAATACCCTGCGTCTAACCTCACTATTACTTACCCGGTGATCCCAGCAGATGCCAGCAATATTTCTAAGGCATCTGTGGTCAAATACTAGTAGCTTACGGGTGTCTTCTACTCTTAAGGCCATGTTTCGCTGCCGTAAATTAAAACAGAACGGACTGCCGCGCAGTATACTCGTCCTTTTATTGATAGACGGATATCTCGCCTCGCCAAGGGTGACGTAAGTTGGCAAAAGCCAAACGAGCTTTTCGAATCCGTGCTGAGATTTCGTCAGACACCAACCCATTAGGGCTGATCAGACTTCCAAGATAAGTGAAGTTGTCAACGCGTTCGACTACTTCACTCCCTATCCTTAGTTCAGGTGTTGACGCAGACCAGTCCTGAAGCAACAACTTGCATTTAGAGGGAGAGAAGCGCATCACAAACATTCTGGCATTGTTGCTTAGTGCTACCAGAAGACTCTGCATTTTGTCAGCGTCTTCACCAAACAGGACTATGTCATCTGCGTATTCTAAGTCGATAAGTGGACCTCCTGGTAGAAGATCAATACCCGAGAATTCAGTCGACGAGAGTGTTATTTCCATCAATAGGTCTATGATGAAGTTAAACAAAAATGGAGAAAGTGGACAGCCTTGACGGACACCACTTGAGGTTGCAAAAGTAGATGACAGTTCGCCATAAGCCCTGACTCGACTAGTAGTGTTCGAGTAAAGAGCCTTCACAAGGTTTATGTACTTCTGAGGTACGCCTTTCAATGACAGACACTGCCACAGAATCTCGCGGTCTACAGAGTCAAATGCTGCTTTTAAGTCAAGAAAGACCACCATTGTCGGACGCCGATAAGTATGCCTGTGTTCTAGAACCTGACGAATGGTGAATATGTGGTCGATGCAGCCACGACCAGGTCTGAAGCCAGCTTGGTTCTCTCGTGTTTGCAGTTCACGAGTCTTAGTTAGGCGTCTGATAATTATCGAGGCTAGTATTTTAGATACTATATTTGTTAAACTAATCCCTCTGTGGTTGTCACAGGATGATTTTGACCCTTTCTTATATATTGGGACGATAAGTGATTGCGACCAGTCAGATGGGATAACGTCTAACTCCCAGATCTTAGCTAAAATATTAGTCAACCTAATCGCTAAAATTGGACCACCATCCTTAAAGACTTCTGGAGCCAATCCATCTGGACCAGCTGCCCTTCCTCGTTTCAGATTAACTATAGCCTTCTCAACTTCAGCAAGAGTTGGGGGACCTACTTCAATGTTCCATTCACACTGTCTGGGAATGGAGGGTAGTTGTAGAGTAGCTGAAGGCCAGCTGAACTGTTCTCTGAAATGTTCCGCCCATCGTTCTAAACGTCTGGACTGGGAGCAGATGAGAGTATCGTCTTTTTCCGAAATAATCTCACTTACACTTGACTTATTAATTCCAGTTTCTTTTATTAGTCTGTAAAGCTGTCTTGTGTTCCCTATAGTCGCCGCCTTTTCCATCTCTTTTGCTTTCGTTGCCCACCACTGCTCACGGTCGTTCCTTAGACTTTTTCTTAACCTAGATCTGATTTGTTTACGCTCTTCATCATGTTCAGAACCTGATGGGACGAGTTTGCGAGAATCCATCAGTGTGATAGACCTTGAAGAAATCCACTGGTTCTTTGTAACTTTGTGGGTCAGCCTCGTTTTCAGAACTACCTAAGTGTGACCTCAGTTGTTCCTGGAACCTACTTTTGGTTTTCTCGTTACTCAACTCAGTTCTAATGGGTCTTTTTAATGTGGCTTTTTTGCGTCCAGTGAGGCGCAAGCAGATGCGTGCCCGTATTAGGGCGTGGTCGGAGTCCAAGCAGGTACTCCAGAATGAGCGACAATCTTCTACCGACCCTCTCCAACGATGACTGATGACAATATGGTCTATTTGAGTCCATCGTTGGTTTGGTGTAGGGGGTCGCCATGTTAGACGATGTCTCTCCTTATGCTTAAAATTTGTTTGCTAAAAATAAACGATTGTCTGAGCATAGTTGTAGCAGACGATCACCATTATCTGTTTGCTGTGTCGGAATACTAAAATATCCACCTAAATACCTTTCTGTTTGGTTTAAGCTACCTATCTGGGCATTAAAGTTACCTGCTTCGAGTACTATGTCTGAGCGTTTAGCTTTCTGAAGAAGTTCAGGTAACTTTCTGTAAAATTCACCTCTCACTTTATCTGGGCTGCAGTCAGTGGGAGCGTAGGCAGAAACGACAAAAAGGCAACGACGTATGTCTCTATCCTTCCGAGTTCTTACGGAGCCCTTTAGCCGGACAGCACATAAACGGCTGTTGACGGGGATCCACTCTAGCAGTGCTTGTTCCGCCCTCATGCTTAGTGCTATGCCTACACCTGCCAGTCCACGAGAACTAGCCATCGGGTCACTAGATACACGTAGGGTGTATCTCGTTGGCTCTCCGTTTTGCCGAGGTGAGGTCAAGTGAATGACCACACTGGAATCCTGTATGCCTGTTTCGGAGACACAGCATATATCAATGGTAAGAGACTCTAGCGTTTTAGCCAAGGAAGCCTGCTGACCGATTTGACATAGGGTTGGTACGTTGAAGGCTCCAATATGTAGTGTGGAGCGAGGTTTCAGTAGACCTGGAACAGCACAAGAATCGTTGGCTATGGTGACACTTCAGGAGGAAGCCGAAAGAAGAAATTTAGAGTTGAAACTCGATGTAGGAGGAATAATAGGAATTGAAGAGGAAGTTTGATTATGAATACAGTGGTCTTGAGTGCTGTTAGAGGTATGAGGGCGGTTATCACTTCTCGGTTGCCCACACCGTGGAAGGGTTCTTCTGGAGGTATCACACAGTAAGACAATATCATCCGCATACTCAAGGTCGAGAATCCTTTCTCCAGGCAACAGATCCACACCGCCATTACTTACATCCATCAGAGCTGTTTCCAGAATGTCGTCGATGGCAAAGTTGAAGAGGAATGGTGAGATCAAGCAACCCTGCCTAACCCCACTGCTCGAATGGAACAATGGAGAGAGGTGGTTGTATGTCCTCACTCTGCCTGAGGTGTTTGTATATAGGGCTTTTAGGATGTTAATAAGCTTCTCAGGCACACCCTTCTTCAATAGACAATCACAGAGAACAGTCCTATTCAACGAATCGAAGGCAGACCTGATGTCAAGAAACACTACGATTGTTGGCCTTTGATAAGTATGGCGGTGTTCTAACATTTAGCGGAGGGTGAAGATATGATCAATACATTCTCGACCAGAACGAAACCCAGCCTGCTTCTCGCGAGTCAATCTTTCTCGGGTTTTGAACAACCTACGAAGTATGACGGAAGCCAATAGCTTGGACGCAATCGGAAGTAGACTTATCCCCCGATAGTTGTTACAGGAACGACGTGAACCCTTTTTAAAGACAGGGACAACTATCGACTCATTCCATGACGTTGGTACACTATCTAGCTCCCAAACCTTTGTAATATAAGTATCCTGATACTCATAGATTAACAAATAAGCCGCTTCATGTATATTATCTGCCAACAAAACAACGAATTAGTTATAGTGGTTTTTCGTTGACATTAAGAACTTAATGAATATATCTGGGTTCGATTGTAGTCTTATTACGTGGAAAACCTTATTTGGATCAGTCAATTCACTTTTGGAATATTAATGATGAAAAATCTGTCATTTTGTAACTAGTAGTATATCATACATATATTTGGTCAGAAAATCAAGACATTTAAATACAAGGAATCGAAAATTCTAAGATAAGACGAAACATAATGTTGACTCTACTGATAACTAGTATATTGAGCAGTCATAATCAAGGTGGAGCCTGAAACAATCGTGTTGGTTGAAGTTGCCAAAATCACATAAATAAAATGAAATGAAAAATATAAGAGGCAGAAATAATGTAGTAGCAGTGAAAGTTAGTAAAGCTAAGTGACGGGAATATGGTTTGGAAAGATTGGGAAGGAATGTATGAAGAAGAACTGGAATTCAAGATCAAGAACTACAATACCCTGAATCTTCAACTGCTAGTCTCGGTAATCGCGAGGATTTTGAGATAGTCTACACCTACTAAAATAGCACAGTTCAACATACAATAGCCAACTACGAGTTCGGCTATTCGGTTTAGAGCAACCACTGCGTGAGGAATAGTGGTATTGCCCAAGTATTAAAGTTGCAGTCAGTCATACACAACGCAGAACTTGGCACGTGAGAGTCGGTTTAAATCGCCATACCCCCGTAAGCATAAGCAAGATCAAATTGCCAGAGCAAATCTCGAAGGAGTGAAAGTAATAAAAGTTTTAGTGGTGATAGAAAAGATTAAGCATTGAATAGGAATTGAAGAGGAAGTTTGATTATGAATACAGTGGTCTTGAGTGCTGTTAGAGGTATGAGGGCGGTTATCACTTCTCGGTTGCCCACACCGTGGAAGGGTTCTTCTGGAGGTATCACACAGTAAGACAATATCATCCGCATACTCAAGGTCGAGAATCCTTTCTCCAGGCAACAGATCCACACCGCCATTACTTACATCCATCAGAGCTGTTTCCAGAATGTCGTCGATGGCAAAGTTGAAGAGGAATGGTGAGATCAAGCAACCCTGCCTAACCCCACTGCTCGAATGGAACAATGGAGAGAGGTGGTTGTATGTCCTCACTCTGCCTGAGGTGTTTGTATATAGGGCTTTTAGGATGTTAATAAGCTTCTCAGGCACACCCTTCTTCAATAGACAATCACAGAGAACAGTCCTATTCAACGAATCGAAGGCAGACCTGATGTCAAGAAACACTACGATTGTTGGCCTTTGATAAGTATGGCGGTGTTCTAACATTTAGCGGAGGGTGAAGATATGATCAATACATTCTCGACCAGAACGAAACCCAGCCTGCTTCTCGCGAGTCAATCTTTCTCGGGTTTTGAACAACCTACGAAGTATGACGGAAGCCAATAGCTTGGACGCAATCGGAAGTAGACTTATCCCCCGATAGTTGTTACAGGAACGACGTGAACCCTTTTTAAAGACAGGGACAACTATCGACTCATTCCATGACGTTGGTACACTATCTAGCTCCCAAACCTTTGTAATATAAGTATCCTGATACTCATAGATTAACAAATAAGCCGCTTCATGTATATTATCTGCCAACAAAACAACGAATTAGTTATAGTGGTTTTTCGTTGACATTAAGAACTTAATGAATATATCTGGGTTCGATTGTAGTCTTATTACGTGGAAAACCTTATTTGGATCAGTCAATTCACTTTTGGAATATTAATGATGAAAAATCTGTCATTTTGTAACTAGTAGTATATCATACATATATTTGGTCAGAAAATCAAGACATTTAAATACAAGGAATCGAAAATTCTAAGATAAGACGAAACATAATGTTGACTCTACTGATAACTAGTATATTGAGCAGTCATAATCAAGGTGGAGCCTGAAACAATCGTGTTGGTTGAAGTTGCCAAAATCACATAAATAAAATGAAATGAAAAATATAAGAGGCAGAAATAATGTAGTAGCAGTGAAAGTTAGTAAAGCTAAGTGACGGGAATATGGTTTGGAAAGATTGGGAAGGAATGTATGAAGAAGAACTGGAATTCAAGATCAAGAACTACAATACCCTGAATCTTCAACTGCTAGTCTCGGTAATCGCGAGGATTTTGAGATAGTCTACACCTACTAAAATAGCACAGTTCAACATACAATAGCCAACTACGAGTTCGGCTATTCGGTTTAGAGCAACCACTGCGTGAGGAATAGTGGTATTGCCCAAGTATTAAAGTTGCAGTCAGTCATACACAACGCAGAACTTGGCACGTGAGAGTCGGTTTAAATCGCCATACCCCCGTAAGCATAAGCAAGATCAAATTGCCAGAGCAAATCTCGAAGGAGTGAAAGTAATAAAAGTTTTAGTGGTGATAGAAAAGATTAAGCATTGAAAATACACGTGAAATTAATAAAGTAAAAATAAATCATGGTTGATATATCGAAATTCGAACTTGTGACCTATTAATCGAAAGAATGTTTGGAACAACAAGCCTTTATTATACTATTCCAGGCACACTTAGAAATCTGCCTTTAAGAAGCTAAAAGCAATTACTGTTGAGTTGCAACTCTCTATGAAAAAATTGAAGATAGAGACACTCATTCTTAGCTACTCCATTTATTCTACACTGCTACAAATTATTCTCACTCTAACAAGTAAAATATGGTTAATGGTGATATGTTGATTCACGCGTAGTTAGCTAACAACAAAGTAACCATGTATATATTACCCCGCTGGTCTTTTTGACTGCAGGTGAATTATGTATTTTTTGACCTGAAACAGGTGCGCGTCAGGTCCAACAATGAATGAAAGTTACTGGAATACTTGACAGATTATTAAGATAAAGGCGGTATCCATTTACATTATTTTAAAAAAATTTACGAAAAGTACATTAAAGTAATTACGAATTATTTTACCGAAAAGTATTTGCCCACTAAAGAGTCCTCAGGATGACATTAAGAAACATTTACCTGATTAGCATGATGGTTTGGATCCTGGAAACTTATTGCTATTGAATTTGATTTCGTATGAAATTCTGTCGAAGAAATATCAGCTGAACTTTGATATATTTCGGAACTTCGTCGTGAAACGCTCCGAAGATCTCCAATATTCATAGTGCTTTGTAATCCTGAATTCCCCAGCATAGTTTGTAAATGGGATAGTGCACAAGTAGTGCTGGAAGGGAAATTACAGCACTCCCCAGTCAAACGGTCATATGAACAGTTTATTCCAAACGTCTTTGCAATCGCTATGTGACCCGAATGAGATAAAAATTTTGCTGGTAGTGTTCTGAATACATGACAGTTCATTAACTTAACGGAAGCATTTTTCCTTGGAAAAGAGTAGTTTGAGAAATCATGTTACTTTAGGCTTATAGATCAAGACAGGTTACATAGACATAATAAACATGTGGAATGTTGGAACTGCCTTTTTGCAGGACTCTAGAACTAACATTAAATGACAAACACTCATCTATACCAAGGGTTTGATAGCCTTCGTCTCAGCAGTGCCAGGAGTAAGTTTTATCTAATGACGATATTTTTATACACACAGTAAATATATTAAAATGATGCGGAGATCGAACCTGAGACCCAGTGACCCAGATAAAACAATTACTGTCCCGAGTTGTTCTAATGTAGACGTTTCGACTGATGGAAAATGGATGACGCGAAAACGCAGAAGAGTAGGAAAGATAGCTAAAACTAATGACTGTTTACTTGGTAAGTCCTTGGTGGACTCTCAGACCAATCCGCCAAAGTCTCATAGTAAAGCTTCGTCTGACATTGTTGTGAGTCATTCGCTTGACTCCCAGGACTCTGTTAAAATAAAAACTAATCGTAAGCTACCAGTAGTTAAAATACAGGATCTAACGTCACGGTCGAAAGCTGTGAACACAGTTTCAAAAGAAGCTAAACCCATCCCTAGTTTAATTATTTGGAATCTAGAGGAGTCGAAAGACAACGACCCTGCTAAAAGACACGCACATGACCTACAGTTAGTGGAGTCTGTGGTAAGGAATGTACTACCTGAAGAGGTTTCAGGGGTACATATTACAAAAGTAATACGACTTGGTAAATGGGTTGGAGGCGAGACCCAACCAAGAAGAATCCTGAAGCTGGTTCTCGGGAGTTTCGAAGAAAGAGACATATTATTGAAAAGCGCACAAAAAACTCGTGCCTCAAATATCCGTATTCGACCAGATTGGCCGCTTGAGGATCGAATCAAGTGGAAGAATGCTCTTACGGAGTTGAGGACTCGCAAATTAAATGGCGAAAATAACCTTACCATTAAGGGTTTTCGGGTAGTCAGGTCTTGGAAGCCAATGCTTCCGAGGCCTGTATGGGTAGAACGATTGATTTCCAAAACACCTTAAGTGTGTGCTACACGAACGCTCGTAGTCTTAGAAATAAAACGTCCGAGCTAAGTCTGATGGTGCAAGAATTATGTCCCGATATAATCGTTGTTACAGAAACTTGGTTCACCGTTGATATAGACTGTTCTCCTTTCATTGCTGGTTATATCTGTATCAGAAGTGATAGAGTTTCAAGTCGCAAGGGGGAGGTATAATATTTTACGTTAGGGATCACTTTCGTATACAATCAACCATATCGGAGGCTCATATCAGTGGCACATGTGAGGTTGCATGTTGTAAGATTAAATCTAGAAATGGGTTAGTGACTATAGGGGGAATATACCGTAGTCCGTCTTGTCTGGCTGACGACTTTATCCTAAGACACATCTGTTCTTGGAGTATGGCAGAATGTTGTCTCATCATTGGGGACTTCAACGCACCGCATATCAACTGGATAGAGCTTACAGCTCCAGGTAGTGGTTTCGATAGCGACCTTTTATCTACCGTTATTCAGTGTGCACTTGTACAATGTATCACAAAACCGACACATATTGATTTGCATCATGTTCCGTCACTGCTGGACCTCGCCCTCACCCACCACTCTGAGGATGTCTTTGATATCCAGCACCTTCCTCCACTAGTGAACAGTGATCACGTTGTAATTCACTTTAAGTTTAGGACACATGGTATACAATTCGTATCTGCTCCACCCCGTCCCAATATCTGGCGAGCTAATATTCCGGAAATCAGAAACCGTGCTATCTCGACTGATTGGTCGGTCGACGCGGATGGATTGATCGAAGATGAATGGAATAAGTTTAAGGCTACATTCGAGTCCGTAACGTCGCCGTTTATCCCATGGTCAGCACGTAAGCTATCACATTGCCCTCCATGGATTAATAAGGAAACCCGGAAGCTGTTAAAGCGTAGGAAACATTTCTGGGACTTATTCTTGTTGACAGGTCATGCACCATTTAAGCGTGAGTATCAAAAATACCGTAATATCTGTAAGAAAACCATAGCGAAATCCCGTACCACTTACGAACGACAGTTAGTATATGATAGCCGTACTTGTCCGAAACGATTGTTTTCGTATGTTAAACGGCAAATGAAACGTAGTGATGGTATTCCCCCGTTGCTGTTACACGAAAATTCAGAATTACTAGCTGAATCAGATCGAGCAAAAGCTGAGACTTTTTCAGATTATTTTAGCGAAGTCTTCTCTACGTTTATTGTAACAAATACTTGTCCCACTCACACCGAGATACCAACCATTGAATCCGTACAGGTGACTGAGGAAACTGTCCTTCCGTTGATAACTAACCTCAAACCTGGTAAGATACCGGGCCCTGACGGGTTACATCCACGGTTGCTGTCATCTCTTGCGGACATTATTTCAAAACCGCTTGCGACACTCTTCAACATGTCCCTCTCACTCGCCCAACTCCCTAGAGATTGGAAGGACGCTATAGTTAGTCCTATATTTAAGGACGGTCAGCGACAGATAGTATCTAACTACCGGCCTGTCAGTCTAACTAGCATAGTCGTTAAGTTACTCGAAAAGATAATTCGGGTTAGGTTGCTAAGCCACATAGATTTACACAATCTGTTAGCTCCTGAGCAACACGGATTTCGTAACAAGCGTTCATGCTTGACTAACTTGCTTATTGCGAGGGAGGATTGGACAGCAGCCCTAGATCACGGTCTGTCTGTCGACGTGATATTCATAGATTTTAGCAAAGCGTTTGACAAGGTTTCACACGTAGGTCTTATGCAGAAGCTCACGAGCTTCGGAATAATAGGTACTGTACATGAGTGGATAGGAAATTTCTTATGTGACCGCAGACAGAGAGTTAGGGTCAATGGAACGCTATCCGATTGGAAGCCGGTCAAAAGTGGTGTACCCCAAGGCACCATCTTAGGCCCTCTGCTCTTCCTTCTCTACGTTAATGAGTTACCACTGTTACTTAGGTCGTCGACATTATTGTTTGCAGATGATGTAAAAATCTGGAGAACAATAAAAAGTGCGGCTGATCATGTGGATCTTCAAGCTGATTTAGACGATTTAGTTAGATGGGCTCGAGAGTGGGGCTTAGAAATCAATGCTAGGAAGAGTGTACTAATGCACGTCGGTCACGGTAATAGTTACCGTTACACTATTGAGGGTAAACCTCTTCCATGCGTTCAAGAGCATAAGGACTTAGGAGTAATATTAAGTCATGACTTAAAAACAACTGCGCATTGCAAAGCAGCCGCTGTCAAAGGTTTTCGTGCGTTATGGTCACTTCGCCGAGCGTTCAAATCTTTTGACGAGGAAACGTTTCGAATTTTATATCCCATATATGTTAGACCACATTTAGAGTACTGTATCCAAGCAGCTAGCCCGTGTCTAGTAAAGGATACTAACTCCCTTGAGCGTGTCCAGCGTGTGGGAACGAAATTAGTGAAGGGTCTTTCTAGACTCCCTTACGATGAGCGCTTAAAACGCCTAAATCTTTTCCCCTTGTCGTATCGTAGGACACGAGGTGACCTTATACTGGCATTTCGTATCTTTAATTATGATTTGGGTGTTAATATGTCTTATCTTTTTGCTCCCTCCAGCACTAATAATCTCCGAGGTCATAGCAAGAAGGTTCATAAACCACGATCTAATAAACTTAAAGTGGGATCCCGTTTTTCTCATCGAGTAGTCAATCATTGGAACGCCTTACCCGAACAAGTGGTATCAGCCCCATCAGTGAATACTTTCAAGGAAAAGCTGGACCTTCACTGGAAAGCAATGTGTCAGGATTAACACAGGTTCATCAACCTACTATCCTTATTACTGAAGACTGAAAATTGGATCCTTTGACCCTTGAGAATCCATTTAATAGCAAACAGAAACCACAAGATAGTTCTCTGAGATAAGTAGGAAAAACGAATAGGAAATCCTACTTTTTTATCAACAACTGAGTGTATGAATGCAACAAAAGAATATTAAGTCTCATAATGCGCAAGTGCCTCGTGGAAAAATGCATGAGAACAACATAATTTAACGCAAAATTCCTACTTAGATTTGACTTTAATCTCTTCAAACATATTTTAAATGACTATGGCAATGCTAAACGTTTTGTAAAAGCGTGAGTGCTGTCCAAAAACTGAAACTACATGTTAAACAATAGTACCTAACGAAAAATACTTATGTGTATGTAAGAAGTGTACAGTGGCTTACAATTTAATGATATACTTTACGTCAAAAAGATAGGAAAGGGGCTATGCTGAAAATCTGCGTAAAAATATGGATACGTGTATAAATGAATAACCAAAACTCACCACGGTTCTCATTGACTTTTATCGTGTTTGCATTACCTTTGTTCTTACTGTAAGTAACAATGTAAAGAAACTTTTCGTCGGAATCAACATGACCAGCTGAGTGCAAACAGCTAACCGGGTATTTCGCAGTGTATGTGTCATGAAGGTGAACCTGGAGAACACCTGAACGTATATCGACCAAGCATATTGATATCGCATGGACAAGTATTTTATTAACCACAGAGTTAGTTTTCCTCCTTAGAATTGAAAGTTCTTCAGTATGTGACTTAAAATCAGTAGGCACTGATACACAACCTGCATAAATCAACACGAAGGTTGTTCTGCTATAAGTTTTGTGTTCCGAACTAATCATGCAGTGTGAATCCTGATGACTGGATTCTAAAGAACCAATGATACATTGGCTAGGCCTTGAATCCTGTGACTCTACCTAAAGATATATTACATTTTGAAGCAGGAAAACCTCAATGAATAACTTTTTGTGGCATCGCCAAATCAGCGAGGCAACTTCTTCGTGAGTAACACTAATAACATTCACACCGTTCACTTTGAGCAATATGTCACCAGCCCTAACCCCTGATCTTTCTGCATTAGACCCAGTTAGAACATGATCTATGAGGCAAGGACGTTCATTCTTCAAACGAAACC